TGCTGGAGGAGTGCTTGATGGCATCTGTCAAGCATGGTGGAGGCAATGTGATGGTCTGGGGGTGCTTTGATGGTGGTAAAGTGGGAGATTTGTACAGGGTAAAAGGGATCTTGAAGAAGGAAGGCTATCACTCCATTTTGCAACGCCATGCCATACCCTGTGGACGGCACTTGATTGGAGCCAATTTCCTCCTACAACAGGACAATGACCCAAAGCACAGCTCCAAACTATGCAATAACTATTTAGGGAAGAAGCAGTCAGCTGGTAATCTGTCTATAATGGAGTGGCCAGCACAGTCACCGGATCTCAACCCTATTGAGCTGTTGTGGGAGCAGCTTGACCGTATGGTACGTAAGAAGTGCCCATCAAGCCAATCCAACTTGTGGGAGGTCCTTCAGGAAGCATGGGGTGAAATCTCTTCAGATAACCTCAACAAATTGACAACTAGAATGCCAAAGGTATGCAAGGCTATAATTGCTGCAAATGGAGGATTCTTTGACGAAAGCAATGTTTGAAGGACACAATTATTATTTCAATTAAAAATAATTATTTCTAACCTTGTCAATAACTACATTTCCTATTCATTTTGCTATATTTCCTATTCAAACTCATTTCATGTATGTTTTCATGGAAAACAAGGACATTTCTAAGTGACCCCAAACTTTTGAACGGTAGTGTACATAAAGAGCAACTAAAATGTTTCTGTATCCATTACCATACCATTTTGAATGTCTAGTCCTAAATGTGAGCCTTGGTAAAAAATACCTATCTGACGCTAGTGGGAATTTATCGCCCTCCCTCTGACTCCTTATGTGCGCTCATCAAATTGTCTGACCTGCTGTCTGACTATGCTAAACAGAATAATTAATAGTGGGTGATCTTAATTTGGATTGGTTGATGCCAGTATCTGATAGGCTGAAAGATATTTGTACTAAGCTAAATCTAACTCAGCTGATAACTAAACCAACTCATCCCAACTCAATGAAAAATCTACTCTTTTAGATTATTCTAACAAATGCTCCTCATAAATGTACAACCAATGGGATATTTGCTAATGAGTTCAGTGACCATAAGAGATGTTAAGCTACCTAAATCTCGCTCACGCAATATTACAAAGATACATTTTAGGAGTTTTAATGAGCAAGATTTCTTGTCTAAGCTGGGGTTGAGTGACTGGTGGGTTGTGTCAACTATCACTGACTAGGATCAGGCCCTTAATTGTTTTATTTCCCTCTTTAGCTCTCTTGCAGATAAACATGCGCCAAACAAAAGGCTAATGGTAAAATACATCTAATCCTTGGTTCACGCATGAACTGTCTAAGAAATTACAGGAAATAAATTTTAGCTTGGGCTAAGACTGACTGATTCTACGTCTGCTTCACAGTCCTTCAGACATTTGAGAAATTGATGTCTATCTCTGGTTGGAAAAGCAAAATCTACATATTTATTGAACTGTGTATAGGAGAGTGGTGGTAATCCAGCCAACTTCTGGAAAGTGGTCAAATCTTTTAAACAAAACTCACTCACTTACTTTTTAATTTCAACCATTTGATGTCTATGTTGTACTAAGTGCTTTGCTAATAAAGATTGTTGTAAAAAAAAAATCCATAAGGGATGATTCACTTGATCCCTTCTTACCAGTGACCTATATTTCTGGTGTTATCCCTAAGATCTGGAAAGTGGCACATCCTTCCCCTACATAAAGGAGGAGATTCTCCTGACTTAGATAACTACCGTCCAATTTCCAAATGATCTTGCCTTTCCAAAGTTTTAGAATCCCTGGCCAACTCTCAGCCAAAGAACTTTAACTTCTCACACTATTCTTAATGTGCACCAACCCGGTTTTAGACCTTGACATAGCTCCGGTTCAGCTGCTACGCTTGTTTTAGATGTACTAAATTGCTTAGATCATACAAATCATTGTGTTGCCTTATTTTTAGACCTTAGCAAAGCCTTCGACACGGTTGACCATTACATTCTCATTCAAAGGTTTACTGAAATATGCCTGGATCAGGCTCCTTGCAAGTGGTTTGAGAATGATCTGTCAGACAGGATACAATGTGTGATTTCTGATGGTGTTAAGTCTAGTTTCCTGGATATTACGAAAGGTGTACCACAGGGGTCGGTATTGGGACCTGACTTTACTATTTATATAAATAATATTGGTCTATCTGTTAAAACTTGTAATATTCATCTGTATGCAGATGACACTGTTATGTATGCCATTGCCCCGACTGTAGACCAGGCATTGTTAGAGCTGCAATCTGACTTTGTTGCCTTAAAAAAGCCCTGGTTGGTTTAAAACGAATTCTCAACAAAAAACAATTCTGATAGACTACATATTTATTCATTTAATGGTTCTCCCATCAATCGGGTTCCCGCCTATAAATATCTGGGTATTTGGATTGACAAGGATTTGTTAAAAAATATACTGAGGAGCCAGTAAAATAACAACATTTTAAAGTGGGCTTCTTTTTTAGAAATAGAACTTGCATCTCCCTAAACAGCAGGAAGCAGATTGTACAGTCAACTTTCCTGCCAGTTCTTGACTATGGTGACTCCATTTACCTGAATGCAGCAGCTACTACTCTTAAACCTTTGGATGCCATCTACCATAGCGCCCTTCGCTTTATCACAGGTGACAGTTTTAATATGCATCACTGCATCCTGTATAAAAAATGTGGCTGGTCCTCATTAAAGTCCCGTAGATCATTTCACTATTCCCTTTTTGGCTTTACAAAGCTCTACTACACAACTTACTTAACTTTGTTGTTGAAGTATAAAAACATGAGTTACCAAACCCGTTCAACTCAAAAAACATGAGTTACCAAACCCGTTCAACTCTTGTGGTTTCTCGGGTCTCCACCGAATGAAGTAAATCCCCCCATTTTTGGAATAACCTGCAGAACTCCCTGCGTCTTGATTCCCTGGTGCCGCTAGGGCAGTTTAGTAGTCTAATGTTGATTTAGTTCAATGAGAATTGCATTTGTCTTGATTAAATGTGAAAAAGTATTGTAGTGTCGAAATTGTAGTTTTTGAAATTGAAACCTGTAGTTTTTATACATTTTATTGGAATGTTCGTGTTGAATTTGTTGTCCTCAGGGCACCATTGAAAATTAGACCCTGGTGTCAATGGGCTCCCCTGATTAAATCAAAGTAAAAATAAACAATCCTGGTCAGAGTACTAATGTAAGCTACGAATGTCATTCTCAGAGGAGCAGTTACTTTTAGACACACATACGCACAGACAGTACAGACAGACACCACAGGTATGTAAGAAACAGCATTTCATTAAACTTATTTCAAATAAATCCAAGACCAATTGATTTTCTTGTCCTCTACATCGATCCTTTGTTGCCAAGTTTATTTTTTTGTATTTATACATATGTACATACAAATGTACACTCTTAAAAATGTGTAGTGCTACTAGAGTAGCATATAAATGGATAATCATAATATTTTAGGCAAAAATAAAACCAAAAACTGAGAATTGTTCTACGGGACTGGCTGGTTGGTGGTAATGTAAACAGAGGGCCAGAGTATGTGACCTAGGATGCATCTCAAATTGCACCCTATTCCCTAAATAGTGCACTACTTTTGAGTAGATCCCTATGGGTCATGGTCAAAAGTAGTGCACTATATATAGGGAGTAGGGTGACATTTGGTGCACATACCCCTAAACTCCTTACAGAGGGCAGCCTGAACTAAGAAACCTCACTAGGGATCTAATTCTTATAACTCAAGACATTCACCCTAAATCAGACACATATCCTCAAGTAAGGACTCGGCCCTAACCTCATCATCAATGCAAACCTTATAACTAGCTCTTGTCCAGTGCGTTATGTGTGGCTTGCTGACACTGAGGCTCAGCATTAGAAAGCCACATGTAACGCCCTGGACTGGAGTTAGGTTATAACTAGGTTATTACAACTGTTCTTGAGCACCATAGCCTAGCAGAAAGGCTTACCTTTAGCATCCAGTTGATTTCATTCAGTGGTTGTGATTGATTTTCAATTAGACATCAAAATAAATATAATTCAAGGAACTATTTTTGGGGTACCTCATAATGCACATTTATAGCTAATTGGACTGTACTAAGTGCATGGAACTGTCCTTAGAAAAGGGTTACACTTAAACATATATACCATCATGGAATAAAGTCCCCTTAGTGTGTGAGTGGATTGGTTTCACCCTATGACTATAATCTAAAATATAAAATAGTTGTACACCTGACACCAACAATGGAATCAGTCTACAGTATGTTGTACTAAAAGTGCTGAACAGAGTGTGTATCAATGTTAGAAAATGTTTCTGGACCCTTTAGAAATTGAACAACAGTACTGTAATGTCATGTCACTATTATTTTTGTCTTGTAAGGCAAGACTAAGGTGTGCCCCAATGGAGAGGCAGCATCAACATCAGAGGACCAAACACTGAAAATGAACAATGCAGAATTTTAAAAAAGCAAGCAAGAAAACAGGAACTATTAAATTAAACAAAAACAATTGCAAATATATAGCATTTAACCCAGTTACCTAGTTCCCCAATTCTCAGTCAGAGTCATTGCTAACAGTAGTCTGAACGAACAAATTCTTATTTAAGTGGCAGCATACCATTTTTTAAATAAAAAATCCTGACAAATATAGAAATACAATTTTAAAACGCTAGTCACAGAAAGCACAGCTCAGTACATAAGATAATTCTGCTGTTGTGTCATGCTTCATCAGACACAGGTTTAAAATATGCCTATTTGAGAAGATCCACGCATATCCACACATAAACGACAATGCCTATGTATCGATACACACATATATATATATTTATAACTATATATAATAAAAATACTACCATTGCTAAGGATGCAACAGCCTTTACAAAGGAAGCATACATAAACGGGTGTAGCAGCAAGATGGGACAAAAGAACGGTTTCAGAGAGAGGGGGGTGAGTCCTACCACTGTCTCAGTGTGTGTGGGGGGGTTGGGGTCTCGGGGCTGGGCTTTCACTGGTGAATATAGGGGTCTCTGGCCCAGTCCCCTGTGTCGCCCCTCTTTTTGGGGGCCACCTCCCCCTCCCTGTCCCGGTCGCGGTCATAGTACTGGTGGTGGTGGTGGTCGCGGCCTGGTCGTTGATGGTGGTGGTGACCGCGCAGCTTGTTGCGCTCGTTGTAGTCCTGCTCGTTACGCTCCTTAGAACGGTGGTGTCCTGTCGTGCCGTGGCCCGCCTCCTCGCCGGCGCGGTGATGGTGGTGGTGGTGATGATGGTGGTCCCTGGGTTGGGGCTGGGTCTCGTAGCGCTGCTGCTGCTGGGGAAGCCCCCCCTCTCCAAGCCCCTCCTCGTCATATTCCTCCTCTCCTAAATCCTCCTCCTCCTCCTGGTGTAGGAGATGAGTGCGGGGCTCTATGTAGGCTGAGTCTCTGCTTTCTCTGCTTTCCCGGCTCTCGGGGGTCTCGGAGTCCTGTGTCTCCCCCCGGGAGAGGCCCTTGCCCCGGCCACCACTGTGATGATGGTGGTGGTGGTTGTGGTGCTGCTCAGTTCGCTGGGAGGAGGAGCGGTGGTGGATGTGCTGGGGTCTCCTGGAAGACTCTGTCCTTAGGGGCCTCTCCTCCTCCTCCTCCTCCTCCTCCTCCTCCTCCTCCTCCCTCTCCTCCTCCTCCTCCCCCTCCCTGTCTGGCTGCTCCTGGCTCTGATGCTGGCTGTGGTGGTGATGATGGTGGTGGTCCTCTCTGGAGCCCTTCCTCTCCCCACCTTGTCCTGCCTTGTCCCCTGCTTTCTGCTCTGCCCCGCTGCCCTGGGGTTAGCAACACATCACACAACATGCCCATTAATACAGTTAGACACACCAACACACGTATGCAGAGTAAGAAAGACAAACACACCCTCAAACACATGCAAATCAAACACAATTTCAACCACTTCCAGACAGTATATCAAATTCACACACACGCAAACCCACATGCATGAAATTCAAACGCACACTTGTACACATACACACATGTGCACTGCACACTCAAAGGTTGAATATAGGTTATCAACCAACCATTGAAGGTTGACTATGGTCCTGGAGAATACAGTTTCCTTAAAAATCATCATATCCGTTTGCTTTCAGATTGATTTAGCCTGGTTTATTATTTTAAGTCTCCAGGACCAAGGCTGAATCCCCATGGAATACTAACACTTTGTCCGAGTCCCAAATGGCACCCTATTTCCTATTTAGTGTACTACTTTTGACCAGAGCCCTATGGGCACTGGTCAAAAGTAGTGCACCATATAGGGAATAGGGTGCCATTTGAGACGCAACCCTGAAGTCCACACAGCTCTTGTGACTGAGTATCTCACTCACCACAATCACAGACATGTTAACCTCACTCATCAGAAGCATTTTCATCAGCATTTTCAGGAGTTTCAAAAGGACTTTCATTGTCAGGAGTTTCAGTCTTACATTTCCCAATGGGGAGCAATGCATGGGGATGGGGAAAAGATGTGGACATTTTAAATACAAATGAAACAGATCTGAATCAATCAAATGACCCAAACTAATTGTTCGCTGCTCACCGTTAAATACAGAACCTTCAAATAGATAATTATTCCCAAACTGACAAAAGTGCATAATGCAAAACACATCATGATCACCCTATTCATTCCTTTGCCTATAAGTATTAACTATTTCAAACGAATTCATTATAGCAACCCACCATGTTAAACCAATTCAAAACACAAGCTCCTGAGTTGTCAGTGCACTTTCCAGACTTAATGATCTTGACTAGTCATGGTTAGCAGGCCCAGCACCAGTCATGTCCCTCGTCTCTCTATTCCTATTCCTCTCTCTCTGCCCTGCTCTTTCCTACCGTGGTCAGTGTGTCATGACTCTGACTCAGTGGCGGTACAGGCTGCTCATGGCCAGTGAGCTACTGGTCTCCCTGCCCTCCCTGCTCTCCCTGTCTGGGCCCTGGAGCCTGGTCAGCACCTGTACCTGTATGCTGGAGACGGGAGCGGGGCTGGAGGGCAGGGCGGCTGTGGCCAGCTTGGCCAGCAGCGGGTTGGGGGGGTTGCAGCTGGCGGGGTGGGTGCTCTTCCAGTAGGCCTCCAGGTAATCAGCCATGTGCTCACACGCATCCTCCAGCTGGTTCTCATCCAGGATGATGTCAAACATCTCCTACATGAGAGACAGAGAGATGAAGAGAGAGATAAACAGAGGGAGAAAGGAGGGAGGAAGGGAAAACAGTACACTCTTAGAAAAAAAGGTGCTATCTAGAACCTAAAAGGGTTCTTTGGCTGTCCCAATAGGAGAACCCTTTTTGGTTCCAGGTAGAACCCTTTTGGTTCCAGGTAGAACCCTATTGGGTTCCATGTAGAACCCTTTCCCCAGAGGGTTCTGCATGGAACCCAAAAGAGTTCTACCTGGAACCAAAAAGGTAGCTCCTATGGGGACAGCCAAAGAACCCTTTAGGAGCCCTTTTTTCTAAGAGTGTATTGTTAGTGTTTTCTGTGCCCAAAACAGAGCGATAAAGAGAGGGAGAAAGTAAGGAGGATAGAAAAAAACTAAATTGTTATAAGGGCTGAAAAACAGCATTTGTATGAGCTATGTATGGGCCAAGAATAGCATCATAACTTTAAATCAGTGGATCTACTTTTCCTTAGTGATAAAGAAAGGACAGACTTTGGGAATAACTTCCAAATTACTTTTACAAGGAACTGACCTGCTTCTCGGATTAAGAAAGTTAGACTAAGACTGTCAAAGACAACATAACCAATTTAATAGCATAAAATATTAATTTGGCAAGGATTTTCTGATCAGGGAGACTGTTAAAAGCTAAATCCCACTAGGGATGCAATGCTATTGGATGTAAATTAGGGCAGATTTTCCACAAGCCTGCAATGTTTGCACTCATATTCTAAAAGAATATCCATGAAGATCACAGAAGGACGGAAATAGAATTGGCAGGAGATATTAGGCTTTCTGAAGCATCCCACAACAGTATTATTAATATAAGGGCAGAATCCTGACGGGATATATACGCACACGACTCAAAACCTCCACGCAAATCTGCTAACGACATCTGTGGCAATATACATAAGACTTCAAGTAACTTGAGTGTGTGTTTTCAGTGTGAGTTTCGCAAGTTAGGATTCAGCCCTTGATAGTCTCCTTTAAGGTATCAATAGAGGCTTGATGCACAGAGACCCAAATCTTCAATCTGCATACATAAATACTATTATGAAATGTCCAGAATTATTAGATGTGGTGGGCGTGATCCAGGTAGCAGCGACCTCTGGGCAGTGGTTTGGCTATACTCACGGCAGGGCATTGGGCCAGTTTGTCTGCGGCAACCATCTGGACGTTGAGGTGCTTGGCCTGGGACTTCCCTCTGGACTTGATGAGCCTCTGCAGAACCTGTGGGAAATATGAGCGAGGGGCATGAGAGTCATGGCACCATCAGCACCGTAACAAAGTCAACTCCATCACATGAAATCATGTCAACACCGTAACAAAGTCAACTCCATCACATGAAATCACGTCAACACCGTAACAAAGTCAACTCCATCACATGAAATCATGTCAACACCGTAACAAAGTCAACTCCATTACATGAAATCATGTCAACACCGTAACAAAGTCAACTCCATCACATGAAATCATGTCAACACCGTAACAAAGTCAACTCCATCACATGAAAGCATCGTCAACACCGAAACTAAGTCAACTCCAACACATCACAGCGTCATCAGCACCGTAGCAAAGTCAACTCTGATGTAGCAACAACGTGGAAACATTCACCTAACATCAGCACCAAAGTAGAACTGCGATTATACTGATTCACAGCAGCAGCAGTTGATAAAAAGAGGAGTCAGATAGACTTGGTTTATCCCATCGAGGTGTGATTCAGACTGCCAACAATTTGATTTAGAGCCGTAATTCACACCCCTTCTTTCCCTTTTTATCTTACTCAAATGCCAGCGTTTTTTAAAGGATATTTGAATCATGGGTGTTATTTACACTATGGCTGAAGGTTAGCGTGATGAATCAGTCGCCTCACGTACTTCACGCTCTCCCATTCAGACGAGCGGAGTAGTCAGCGCTGACAGGTCGTATTTAATAACCCGAACAGGACGCCATTCAGTTAGAAAAAGGCAATATGAGCAATGACAAGACTGCACCAATGCACCAGGCACATCCATAGACCTCAAAAACAAGTAGACAACTTCACTACTTTCCACAGAGTCTCAGGAGACTTTCAATTCAGCTCCGTTTACTTCATCAATCTGTCACTCACTGCTCTCACACTGGACCGTTTACCAGTGTTTGCCTGGCCTGCATCTACCTTTACACAACTACACATATTATTAACTACCAAAGTGCATTTTGTGAAATGGAAATGTAAGTTGCCACTTGTTTGCGTTGCTTAGCCTCACCTTAGGAGAGGAGATCTTGACGTAGACGATGATAGGGGCCAGGGAGGTCTTGCCCAGTTGGGCCGGGTGGTTGATGGTGTCTGCGTCCAGAACCACCAGCTGTAAGGTCCGGGCCAGTTCAAAGATACGCTCTATCTCACTCTGCACTTCAGCTACTAAGAGAGAACGAGAGAGGTGGAGGGAGGGACAGACGAGACACAGACAGACAGACAGACAGACAGACAGACAGACAGAGAGAGAGACAGACGGACGGACAGACAGACAGACAGACAGACAGACAGACAGACAGACAGACAGACAGACAGACAGACAGACAGACAGACAGACAGACAGACAGACAGACAGACAGACAGACAGACAGACAGACAGACAGACAGACAGACAGACAGACAGACAGACAGACAGACAGACAGACAGACAGAGAGAGAGAGAGAGAGAGAGAGAACGAGATTCAAACCATAGATCCGCTTTCATTCTGCCCTTCAGTTAAGCTGCGGTGAGAGAAGGAGAGATTAGCAACACAATGGATCAATGGATATTAATACAAAAAACTATGTTTTAAGTCAAATATTAGCTTTTGCTGAATTAAAACTGAAATTCAAAAGCTAATTTGACCTATGCACTAACAAGGCTTTTCAGCATTAACAGCTTGACTACTGCTAGAGTACTCCATTCTAGCAGCCTAATACATACTCTAAGAGTATGTATTAGGCTGTTTGAAAGAAGGTTTGAATCCTAATCAACTCATCCAATGTGAGTACATCTGTTGATCAAAAGTAGATCAATAAAGCTACAGTAGCAGTAGTCAAGCTGCTTATGCTGAAAAGCCTTGTTAGTGCATAGGTCAAATTAGATTTTGAATTTCCTGTCTTTTTCAGCTATAGACAAAAGCTAATATTTCACTTAAAACATCATTTTTGTATTAATTTCCAGTTGTTTTTTTGCGGAAGGTCTGATAGTAGCACATATCCTGCCACCAAACATTATTACTTTGCATTATAACTATTTGAAATGGCATGAAACAACATGGCTGTCAACGGCAGTCTAAAGTGGTTGGTTTTCAAAATTGTACAGCTCTTTAACAGTTTAAGTTACAGACAATAGACCAACTGTAAAAAGGTCTTACAATTACATAACTAGTTTATGAACTAGATAATTATTTAAATATGCATACATTTGGGGAACCCTGAAAGACAGTCAAGTTAGTTCCGACAGTACGACTGGGAGAGGTAGGTAAAGCCAAATGTAAGATTAGAGCCATTATGATAGATGTGTGGCAGAAGAGATGGGACAGCGAGCCCAAGGGCCGGCATTTATATGCCCTCCAAAGAAAGATTGGTGGACCAAGATTCAATGGTCAGATTAGGAAGAAAGAGGTTGTGTTTGCTCGGTTACGCCTAGTACCCTGTACATTGAACTCATCATTACATCTGGTAGGTAAGCATGTGAACGGTTTGTGTACGTAGTGTATGGTTGATGAAACAGTGAAGCATGTGTTTGTTTATTTATTTAGTCTGTAAGCTGTGATTGACTACACACTCAAGTATAGTTGGTGGCGGCATGCACCTCTAATGTTTGTTTGCGGGCCTCCATAATACCATAGAAGAAGAACGGGAGCATTTTTTTCATAAGCGAGTGAATACCATTCTGTAATGTTAGGACATGAAAATCGCTAACTAGCTATTATGTTAAGGTAAGAATTATCTAAGGTAAAAAGTTGATGCTTTGTTTGTTGAAACTGTCGCTGGGCAGTGATGGTTGTTAACGTTACCTAGCTGACCGGTGAGTCACAGTAACTAGGCTTCTCCAAAACTGCGCTCTGATGATGCTGATGATCATTAGTCAATCAATCAATCAAGTGTATTTATAAAGCCCTTTTTACATCAGCAGATGTCACAAAGTGCTTATACAGAAACCAGCCAAAAAACAGCCCCAAAACATCACTGCTCTAGAGGAGATCTGCATGGAGGAATGGGCCAAAATACCAGCAACAGTGTGTGAAAACCTTGTGAAGACTTACAGAAAACGTTTGACCTGTGTCATTGCCAACAAAGGGTATATAACAAAGTATTGAGAAACGTTTGTTATTGACCAAATACTTATTTTCCACCATAATTTGCAAATTAATTAATTAAAAATCCTACAATGTGATTTTCTGGATTTTTTTTCCTCATTTTGTTTGTCATAGTTGACGTGTACCTATGATGAAAATTACAGGCCTCTCTCATCTTTTTAAGTGGGAGAACTTGCACAATTGGTGGCTGACTAAATACTTTTTTTCCCCCACTGTAATTGAATGTTGAGGGTCAATGTTGTCACAATGAGGGAACAAAAGAAGTATGCTGAGGTCAATTTTGTCACGACGAGTTAGCCAGCTAGCCAACTTGTGCCATAGCTGGGCTGCTCAGACGAGACGTGAACCCGGGAGCCTGGCTAGCAAGCAAGTTAGCTAGCTAGTAACTAATGTTACAATGTCAACTAACGAAACAGATACAATTTCAATAATGTAGGGTGTCTGGCTTGAATTCTATTTTGAATATGGCTTAGATATGGCTGAGAACAAAAATATATTGAGCATCAATTTTGTCAGGATATAACGTTAGCTAGTTAGCTAAAAACGTGTGTAAGTAACTAGTTAGCTAAGATACGAGAGTGGCTAGGTTTCAGTTTTGCGTCACAGCTCAGTATATAGAACAGATAGATTGCCAATGAGGACACGCTGCATTTCTCACTTTGAATGAGACTGTATGATCTCTGATTCTAATTCTGTCTATCTTTTCTGTTTCTCCTTCAACAACAATTAAATATTAGCCTGTTAGCCCACATGTAATTACTTAGCTTTCCTTCATGATTTGCGGTAAAAGAGCAGAGAAAATATTATTTTAATTACATCAACATATTTCTCGGTTAATCAAATGGAAGGCACTTCTGTCTGATATGTAATCTTTCTCGGTCTTTTGAGCATCACTGTTGACAACTTAGTGGAATTTCTTAAATATCTTCTTAGAGAATCCCTACGGGAGAATGATACATTTCTATAGATTCTTCCAACAAGAAAACTAGCGAGCAGATCGCGGCGCCATCTGCTGACCATTTAAGGAATTGAGTCTTCAACCGTCGTGCCAAATTTCATTGAGTAAAATGGAATATTGACAGAGAAAAGGGGAAAAACTCCCTTTAACATGCATTGCTGGCTCAAAAACAAATATAAACAACTATCGCCACATCTATAATACTATAGGATCATGTGAAAATTGGAAGTAACCAGTATTAACGTGAAAAGATGTATTAGCTAATGCACTTTTCTCCAGATAGACACAGTTAGGTCATATACATAAATCATGAACAGTCCAGAAAATCTCCCTAGCAACACTTTCATTAGCAGCTCAAACAAAGGTTTTGTTTGCCCATCGAGAGCTGCCCATGACTAAGATACACCCACCTCCTGCCCTATTTGTTTGTTGTCGGAAATTGCGCTGATAGTCCAGATGTGTGTCTGGTAATTATAATTCAGCGATTGTCATTAGGCCCACTAAACTTGCTGCCAGAATTGATGCGTACACTGTTGTATGCGCGCGTCTCGGTCTTGGCCACTTATCTCCGCCTTGGAAAAATGTTAGTGTTCTCATTGAACCACAACGCAATTTGGAGGGTATACTGCCCGTTTTCAAGTCAATTCAAGTCAATAATTTGTATGCAGCTGACATGCGGTAATGTTAAATAATGATGTAATTGCCTATAGTTTTCTTGGCATTTCATTTTAATTATTGTGATAGGCTCACGTTTTACCGGCACGGCGTAGGCCTACACATACTATTTACAGGACCGTACTGGCTTAGCCCACTTTCACCCCTGTATCACCATCAAGACATAATAATAATAATAATATGCCATTTAGCAGACGCTTTTATCCAAAGCGACTTACAGTCGTGCGTGCATACATTTTTTGTGTATGGGTGGTCCCGGGGATCGAACCCACTACCTTGGCGTTACAAGCGCCGTGCTCTACCAGCTGACATAGTCAGGGTTCAGCGTACTGTCAACACATCAGTCCCTGAAGTGACAAAATAATTATCCAGTTGCATTGGCTTCAAGTTAAAGAGCTTTTAGTCATAAGTGGAGCACAAAGATTGGAGTTGTGCAATGTTTTGAGTGTGGCCCAGTGCTAATGTATCTTTAAAGATGAGCGGGTTTATCCCATGCCTACACTCTTAGAAAAAAGGGTTCCAAAGGAGTTCTACCTGGAACCAAAAAGGGTTCTTCTATGGGGACAGCCGAGAACTGTTTTAGGTTCTAGATAGCACCTTTTTTTCTAAGAGTGTACTGGAGCAACCGGCACCCTACTCCCTATTTAGTGCACTACTTTTGACCAGGGCCCATATGACTCTGGTCAAAAGTAGTGCACTATGTAGTGAATAGGGTGCAATTTGGGACGCAAGACGCAACACATGAGTAACCTTACAGAGCACCACGGGGGCGATCCAACACAAAAATTAGCTACGTGGCTTCCGTAGTTCCGTTGGCTCTCTGGCCACCACCGTGAGGTCATGTTTCATTGTTATCGCAGCTTGTTACTTAAACCTGTTAAAATCAGCTGTGTTCTTGACCTTGTTACCTGGCAGCAGGTATCTCTCCTTTCTTTCTCTCTCTTTCGTTCCAAAAGCAAACCTTTTTAATCACAAGCCTGGCCAGGTCATTCTTCCCCTTCCAACATCTGTAGATCTGCATTATAACCGTCTCCAAGGTTGTGCCCTAAATGGCACCCTATTCCCTATATAATGCACTATTTTCGACTAGAGCCCTATGGGCCCTGGTCAAAAGTAGTCCACTATATAGGGAATAGGGTGCCATTTTGAAAACATCCAAAGACTTTCTTTAATCTTTTACTCTTTCCCTTCTCTCTATGCAATGAATTAGTATCTCTACATACAATGGGCACTAGAAGAACACAGAGGTTTCCCAGCCTCATACTTCCAAACTTACCAAGGTTGGAGCGTGTGTTGGATCGCTCGATGATGGCGTGTTTACTAGGGTTGTTGAGGACGGAGCGTTTGGCAAGAGAGATGTCTGCCGTGACTCGAGTGATTGATATTCTGATAGGAAATCAGAGAGAAAATAACTGGTCACCGAGAGAATAGAGCATGCTCTGATTTCTGAAACAGCCTTACCAATCAAATATTTAACACTTGGAAAAAGTACAGCATTAGAAACAAAATGGCATTGCAGCAAAATGACATAGGCTACAGTCCATAATGAAGAGGGGAGAGTTTTGTGATTTCTAAGCAAGGTTTGGTAGAAGAGGCCAGAGGGTGGTGAGAGTATGCTTTGTAAAACACATTGTTGATTATCAAAAGGGTGGCACTTTGAGAGGGAAATAAAACAATGTACAGTATAAGCTAATGAGCCTATGTTTTGTAACATCATTTCCTACTGTGGATGGGAAAGTGGCCAGGCAGCCAATGCAGGGACTGGTGCATGGAGAGGAGAGGAGCTGAGGAGAACCCTGCACCGCACTAGGGCCCAATATAGCCAATTAAGGACATGGAGAGGGCCTATTTAAAGCAGCAGCTAGCACATCTCCAGGCCAAACAAACTTGTTACACACTCCCTCTGCAAAACCTCCAGGGACGACTAATACCAGCCTATAGGACTCAGGCAGAGCAGACTGAACAAGGATACAGAGAGAGAAAAAAACAGAGGGAAGGAAGGAAAGCCGGGACAGCTCAACTTACCTTCCCTCAAATCTGTGTTTCAAAAAGTCAAACAGTGCTTTTTGCATCATATCGGTCACCTGAAACCAAATGGACAATAGAAACATAGTGAACATTTTAGGAACCACCATCATGAAAACAGACTATGTGTGTGAGTGCATGGGTGGGTGAATCAAAGCAAGCTCTCTGTTACTGAAAAAGGGAGCCCCACTGCACAGATTGTTGTTTCAGTATTGACTGATAGCACTTCAGCCTTCCCCTTGTAATCAACTGTGGTCCTCCTCAGCTTAGCGTGTCCTGTTCTCACCAGGTTCCAGAGACCCCTGCCCCTGTCTGCCTCCCACTAATGCACAGAGACACATCTCAACTCTGTCAGTGTATCCATGTGTCCACAACAACAACTATTAGGAGAAGTGTAGTTAGTGTAAACAGAATATATTATTGAGTTGAGTAGTGCTGCTAGTGTGAGTAGTAGGGTGTTAAAATTCCAGTAACTTTCCCAAAACGTCTAGGTTTTCCAGAAATCCCATTTGGCAGATTTGCAGAAACAGGAGGGAATAAGCAGGAAATCCAGAATCCTCCAACCATGAATTCTGGAAAACGTGGGAAGTTTGGGAAAGTTACCAGAACCTTGCAACCTTAAAGAGATACTTCACCCAAATGACAAAATGACACATTGGTTTCCTTACCCTGTAAACAGTCTATGGACAAGGTATGACAGCAATCCATTGTTTGGTTTAGTTTCCCTGGCAGACAGCAATTCCCTGGCACTGTTTCCAAATGTTAACATTTTTGCATTTGTGGCACAAATCCCAATCAAGTCATGGGACCGATATTAGCATTTTTCACGGATCATGTTCAAATCATATATAAGTGACTTTGTTGAGCTTCACAATAGATTTTAGATACTTTCGAATGATTTGGACATGATGTGCGAAAAAAATGCTAATATCGGTCCCATGACTTGATTGGGATTTGTGCCACAAATGCTAAAATGTTAACATTTGGAAACAGTGCCAGGGAAACTAAACCATCGCATTGGATTGCTTTCATACCTTGTCCATAGACTGCTGACAGGGTAAGGAAACCAACATGTCATTTAGTAATTTGGGTGAACTACCCCTTTAACAAGTAGGTCGCATTCCACTGCTTAGACATTGCATGTATCAACCAATGATTTCGTGCCACATCATCAACTGTGTCATCGACTGACAGATTGCTAGAACATATGATGTGGTTAGCTGATAGGTAAAATACCTATCCAGGCGTTGTAAGATCTGGCAACGTCTAAGCAGTGGAACGCGACCGTTGTAATCGAAACATAATGTCCTCGTGAGTGTAGTAGTGGTAGTGTCAGTAATAATCCCTAATAACAACTTTACAACAATTTATAACAATCCCTTATAACTTAATGCTGTTACCTCATAGCCCTTCAGTGACGGTCCAACCAGGACCACAGGGCGCATGGAAGGCACAACGTCGTATGGAGGAATGTGTTCCGTCTGCCCAACGAGAGAATACAACCCATCAGCTTCACATCCAGGGAGATTATTATACACTGTCTGCATCCCAAATGACAACCTATTCCCTACATAGTGCACTATGTTGGACCAAGGCAGGGCCCTGGTAAAAAGTAGTGCACTTAATAGGGAATAGGGTGGCATTTGGTACGCAGCCACACACAGAATTACACACTACGTCCAGCGGGGAACAGCAAAGCACAACACACTAGACCAGGGTTTCCCAAACTCGGTCCTGGGGCCAGTACCGAGTTTGGGAAACCCTGCACTAGACCATTTAATAGAACTGAAAGGAACTATGCAATTAGTTGTCCTAACTGCCAGTCCCAGTTTACACTCAACACACAAGGATGCCAGCTAGAATGTTCGGACCCATAGAGATAGGGGTGTTTTGTTTTCATTTTGAGTAAATATGAAAAAGTAAGAAATGATATCATACAATGAGCAAATATTAAGATAATCTGTTTGTGTTTGCTCTTAGAATAAATATGTTTATCTTCACCCAACCCCTAATGAATTGACAAGACTCTTAACATGAACAACAATCAATCAATGTATGGAAGTCAAGGTATACTTGTGTTGAGTGTGGAGACTGAGCAGAATCTCTCATTTCACAATTCTTATCTACTCAAAGGGTAATGTCAGTAGAGGAACTCATTAGTCAGAACAGGGATAATCATAACAGAAGGCTAGAAATGCAAACTAGAGAGAAGCAGACTAGCAGAAAAAAAAAACACCCAGTCACACAGCGACAGAGTAGGAGCTCAGTGTATCTCAGTGACAGCTGCAGAGGGATCTGTCTGTGTGTGACAGCGAGGCAGTAGACCTCTAATGAAACATCTGCGTGTGCTGTCACAGTGGCGTGACAGTGCAGTATGAGGAACACTCAGACAGACTGACAGACAGACACGCCATTGCTTTGCAGGGAAATGAAAGCATAGAGAGAGAGAGCGAGCGAGAGACAGAGAGAGAGAGGCAGACGTTGCACTGAGTCGGTTTGTCACGCTTCTACCTCCTCTTCTGTGGAAAGTGAATGGACAATAACGTTTTCTAATGTAATCTAATCTTCTTTCACGACTTTATATTACTGCTAACTACACTGAACCAAAATATATACGCAACATGGAACAATTTCAAAGATTTTTACTGAGTTACAGTTCATATAAGGAAATCGATCAATTCAAATAAATTAATTAGGCTATTGATTTCACATGACTGTGAATACAGATATGCATCTGTTGGTCACAGATACGTTGGTCACAGATACCTTTAAAAAAAGGTATAGTGTGGATTAAACCAGTCAGTATCTGGTGTAACCACCATTTGCCTCATGCAGCACGACACATCTCCTTCACATAGAGTTGATCAGGCTGTTGATTTTGGCCTGTGGAATGTTGTCCCACGCCTCTTTAATGGCTGTGCGAAGTTGCTGGATATTGTCTGGAACTGGAACACGCTGTCGTACACGTCAATCCAGAGCATCCCAAACATGCTCAATGAGTGACATGTCTGCTGAGTATGCAGGCCATGGAAGAACTTGGACATTTTCATGCTGAAACATGAGGTGATGCCTGTGGATGAATGGCAGACAATGGGCCTCAGGATCTCGTCACGGTTTCTCGGTGCATTCAAATTGCCATTGATAAAATGCAATTGTGTTTGCTGTTTGTAGCTTATGCCTGCCCATACCATAAACCCACTCTGTTCACAACGTTAACATCAGCAAACCACTCGCCCACACGATGCCATACACGCTGTCTGCCATCTGCCCGGTACAGTTGAAAACGGGATTCATCCGTGAAGAGCAAACTTCTCCAGCGTGCCAGTGGCCATCGAAGGTGAGCATTTGCCCACTGAAGTCTGTTACGACGCCGAACTGCAGTCAGGTCAAGACCCTGGTGAGGACGACGAGCACACAGATGAGCTTTCCTGAGACAGTTTCTGACTGTTTGTGCAGTAATTCTTCATTTGTGCAAACCTACAGTTTCATCAGCTGTCTGGGTGGTTGGTCTCAGATGATCCCGCAGGTGAAGAAGCCGGATGTGGAGGTCCTGGGCTGGCGTGGTTACGCGTGGTCTGCGGTTGTGAGGCCGGTTGGACGTACTGCCAAATTCTCTAAAAACGACGTGGTAGAGAAATGAACATTAAATTCTCTGGCAACAGCTCTGGTGGACATTACTGGAGTCAGCATGCCAATTCCACACTCACTCAAAACTTGTGTTGTGTGACAAAACTGCACATTTTAGAGTGGCCTTTTATTGTCCCCGGCACAAGATGGAAACAAATTTGTGCACAAAATTTGACAGAAATAAGCTTTTTGTGCGTATGGAACATTTCTGGGATCTTTTATTTCAGCTCATGAAACATGGGACCAACACTTTATGTTTTTGTTCAGTGTACCTGTCTTTTTCTCTCTCCATCTCTTTCCCTCTCTTTCTCTCTCTCTCCCCCTAGCTCTCTCTCTCTCCAGCTCCCTGTCTTTCTAGGTCTCTATCTCTTTTCCTGTATCTGTCTCTCTCTGTTTTTTCCTGTATCTGTCTCTCTCTGTCTCGCTCACTTTCATTTTTCTTGAACTGGTAACATCTGCTGCCGTCACTGGCTGTCCCTGGGGAACTCTTGTTACATCAGAGTGGGGAAAGTGCTGCTGGAGAACTACCGGTCACTGTAGTCACAGATAATTTAGGCCATATTTTCCTGGCCCAGGCTACAGGGCTATTGTTACAAAAAAAAATGCACGCTGCTAGATGATTAAAAATGGTGGCTATTGTTGCCATAGTTGTTGTAGTTGTATGGTCTTAGAAAGGACATTAGATTGTACCTCTGCATCATTTTGTATGCTGATTATTGTTTAAAAAAATGGTTTTAAGAAATATACTTTTTTTGAGAGGATTTTGGGGTTTGCCAAGTTTTGCTCCAAGTCAAGTCATGGAGTGCACACTATGACTGAGAACTCTGTGTTGTGTTATGTGTATAAGGTAGGGCTACATCACACACATTACACACATCACACACATCACACACATCACACACATTACACACACACTAACATCCCATCATGTGCCAAGGAAGCCCTTACGGGATGGTCCTAACTCCTTTGGAATGGTGTATTAATATAGCAGTGCTTTCCATAAGAATAGATTTACGTTTCATAATAAGAACAACACAATAATAGTTGTTGTATTTGTTCTAATAGAGGTCACACTTGATTCTTGTTCCTGTGTGATAAACACAACCAAACCAACAAGAGGACGTCAATAGCTGTTACTGTAGATATACTCTTCTGGTTTAAGAGTTGGATACGCTGAGTTCCCACTAAATCTGCATCACGCACGCACGTACACACACAAACACAAAGACCACAGCGACAACAGTGAGTGAGAGGGGAGTCAAAAAAACAACCACTGCAGAGAAATCACAGAATCACATCCCCCAGACCCCCAAGGCCCTGCTGGGGATTTGGTGTGTGCTGCATGCTAACTTCACTTACCGACTTCTGCTTCTGCTTAGCTACAGCCCAGATGGAAGAGGAGAGAGAAAGAGCGTTAAGAAACAGGCAACATGCATGCTAATGGCTCAAACGCCCAGCGCAGGGAAGAGACATGGACTCTGGCAGTAAGACACGTAGGATAAACAGAACGGACAGACGAACGGATGAGTGATGCTGAGCAGCCACAGTCAGGCAGTTGTCATGGGTGGCCGTGTGGACGGACGGACATAGGAGAGGAGATACAGGTAGAGAGTGAATACCGGCGTAGTGCCACATTTACCTTCTTAAAGAAGGGCATTCGTTTGTCTTTGGCTAGGGTGGGTGACATGACAGTGTTTGGCTGACTGACTTTAGGGGAGCGAAGGTGGACTGGAAGCTCATTGTCCTCGGGATCTAAGCCTGTGGCGTCTATATCAACGGCTACGCACACAGACACACAAGGCCACCGTCACACAGAGGCAATACACAGAAGGCTACAGGGGTAACAATGAATACCTAACACTGAACAGATACACAGGTTATTCCAGCACATTTACAAACTATACAAACCATAGCCAACTATAGTCAAACTATGGTTTGACTATACAGAAAAAGAGCACTGACAGTAACCAATAGCACATAAGTTAAGCAAACATTTAAGGCCACAGTAATACAAAAATACCATTCTAACATTTTTACTATGGGCCTACATCCTGTTGACTTACTAACTGATTGGTCAAATTTCCTGAAGTGTACTAAAGACAAGCCAGCAGTAAGGTCAAAATAATGACCTTACTAATAAAAATGGTGTTCTAGTTTTATCAGCCTTTATACTCAAGCCCTCTTAGAGGTTGATGGAAGTTTGTGTTAGCGAAAAACATGTTGACAACTGTCAAAACCCTGCTCTCAAACCCTGCTCCAAGGGCTTCCTTTACTCACCAGAGGAAGGGGGGGTGGATTTCCGCGAGTTAGGAACCACTTCACCTAAACTGGTAGAGGAGTTTGCTCCTGATTTACTGCAAAGATAAATACTTCATATCAGTATGTCATTCATATCAGCATATTTGAGGTGTTGCTAGTTGATAGTGTCGGATATCTCAAGCAGCGCTTGACATTAACTTTTTTAGCCACTTGTCTTTCGGACAAATAGGACAGATTTTTTACTTGTCCCCAAAAATGTGACTGAAAATGGTGTTGTATGATACAAGGAACCACTTCACAATATACATTCATTATTATCACTGGTATTGACAATGGAAGGCTGCTGCTCTCTGATCCCATGTATTATATCTCCTGCCGTTGTGTCCTTGAGCCCAACCGCCCACAAAGTAAAATACTGCACTGATAGACTACTGTATAAAACACATGTGGTCCGTCATCTGGAGAGCTACTGGGAGTGCAGGCTCTTGACCCAACCTTGCTCAAACACCAGAGTTAGCTTATCAAGGTCCTGTTGAGCAGCAGATCTTTTTGTACAATGTGGTGTGTTCATGCAGGGCTGGAGCAAAAGCCTACACACCCAGTAGCTCTCCTGGACTCCTGGAGGATGGTTGGCCACCCTGTAACATTACAATTATCACCAAATACTTTTACGTCTTTATAAAATAATTCCATCACTCAATGAATGAACCAGGGATCAAATAGCTAAGGTGGGCGATGTAGCTAACTAAGATGTTTATCTCTTTGTAAGGCTAAAATATTCAGTGTTCAGGCCAGGGAGATATTAACAGCATAGGAGTTAGGCTACTCTTGAGCACTTGAGAGACTGTTTTACAACCGGAGTATGCAGCATTGGTTTCATCAACTGCACACCTACACTACATGGCCAAAAGTATGTGGACACCCGTTCCTCGAACATCTCATTCCAAAATCATGGGCATTAATATGGAGTTTGCTGCTATAACAGCCTCCACTCTTCTGGGAAGGCGTTCCACTAGATGTTGGAACATTGCTGCGGGGACTTGCTTCCATTCAGCCACAAGAGCATTAGTGAGGTTGGGCACTGATGTTGGGCGATTAGGCCTGGCTCGCAGTCGGCGTTCCAATTAATCCCAAAGGTTTTTGATGGGGTTGAGGTCCCTGTGCAGGCCAGTCAAGTTCTTCCACACCGATCTCGACAAACCATTTCTGTATGGACCTCACTTTGTGCAAGGGGCATTGTCATGCTGAAACAGGAAAGGACCTTCCCCAAACTGTTGCCACAAAGTTGGAAGCACAGAATTATCTAGAATGTGATTGTATGCTGTCGCGTTAAGATTTCCCTTCATTGGAATTAAGGGGCCTAGCCCAAACCATGAAAAACAGCCCCAGACCATTATTCCTCCTCCACCAAACTTTACAGTTGGCACTATGCATTGCTGCAGGCAGCGTTCTCCTGGCATCCGCCAAACCCAGATTCGCCTGTCGGACTGCCAGATTGTGAAGCATGATTCATCACTACAGAGAACGCGTTTCCACTGCTCCAGAGTCCAATGGTGGTGAGCTTTACACTACTCCAGCCGACGCTTTGCATTGTGCATGGTGATCTTAGGCTTGTGTGTGCTGCTCGGCCATGGAAACCCGACAAACAGTTATTGTGCTGACGTTGCGTCCAGAGGCAGTTTGGAGCTCAGTAGTGAGTGTTACAACTGAGGATAGAAGATTCTTACACGCTACGCGCTTCAGCACTCGGCGGTCCCGTTATGTGAGCTTGTGTGGCCTACCACTTCGCAGCTTAGCCGTTGTTGCTCCTAGACGTTTCCACTTCACAATAACAGCACTTACAGTTGACCGGGGTAGCTCTAGCAGGGCAGAAATTTGACTAACTGACTTGTTGGAAAGGTGGCATCCTATGACGGTGCCACGTTGAAAGTCACTGAGCTCTTCAGTACAGGTCATTCTATTACCAATGTTGTCTATGGAGATTGCAAGGCTGTGTTCTCGATTTTATACACCTGTCAGCAACGGATGTGGCTGGAATAGACAAATCCACTCATTTGAAGGGGTGTCCACATACTTTTGTGTAGATTAACTGTGTGTCAGCCATTTGCTGTTATAGCCTACACGAGTGCCGGTGTCAGATCTGTCAGTGCAGGCCTACAATAAGTATACACCAATGCGCTCTGCAGAGATTGGGAGGTAAGTGCGTAACACATCGCATCCGAAAGACACTTTGATACAATTCTGATCGGAGTAGCCTAATTGTTTGACATTTAGATTTTTGCGTAATATTACTTAGCTAGTCCATTCGGACAACCTACTATATAATCTGCTTGTCCGGCAATAACTTTTACTTGACCCGGGCAAGCGGACAACCGTTAATGTCGAGCCCTGTCCAGTGTCGGCTCAATGGCAGCATCATGATTGGGTGAGGTGCATGTTAGTTTCCGTGGTGATTGCAATGAGCGAGGGGGCTGGTAGCTACCTGGAGTGGAACTTGCCCTGTTTGGCTCTCTGCTCGTGTTGTACCCGAGTGTTCTCGATCTTCACAGGACTGGGGATAAAACCGATTTCACAGCCTTCCTTCACCAGACGCCCTATCCACCAGTCATTATTAAATTTCTACAACAAGGGGACAGACGTGAGGGGTTAATAAATCAGACTTTTCCATCTGCTCATCATCATTATCATTATCATCACCACCTTTATCATAATTATTTTTAACCTCACCTTCCTCCTCCTCATCATCATCATCATTGTTATTGCCATCATCATCATAATCATCATCATCATCATTCTTCCCCTTCTCCACCTCATCATCATGTGATATTACTGTGACCCCTGACCTCTTTGACGTGGAGGAAGTCTTTAGCCTCAAAGGAGATGGCCATGCCCGGCACGGGGACTCCATCATCATTGGTGGAACAGTAGTTGACATTGGTGCGGACAGCAAACGCAACTGGTTTAGTCTGCCAAAGAAAGAAAACGGAGAGATTAAACGTTTCGGTTACACAAGACATGATAATTAGGGGTGTGAACGTTTAAACATTCAAATGATTAAACAAAATTGGGATCCTTAACTTTAAGAAAAATCCCAACCGAAAAACGATGTTAGTGGGTCAATAAGTGGGCAATAGTGGGTCGATTTTCCTCAACAACTAAGAGCATTGAAGCGCGAGGCTCAACTTCTCTGCTGTTTTGGTGCCCTAGCTCCCAAGCTGTAAACAGCTTGAAGCGAACCTGTGCACATGTACAGATACTGTGTGTGACCGTGTGAGAGCGAAGTGTTGCATCTCGCTCATCTCAATAACCTAGCCTATTAATTGAAGTTGCCGAGACATTGCAAGCCAAGAAATTGTGAGATACAGATAGGCCTAGTGCACGGTTCTGACTGTCTGCCTGGTGTCCGACCTGCCTATACTGTGCCCCTACCCTCTCTCTCTGTCCCTCGCTAGCTCGCTATGAAATATGCAAGTGTTTGTGTTCTTGAAAGTACGACAACTAATCAGTCTCCTCAGTTCCAAAAATACAGAATCTTAGGAGTCTATTCCTAGCGGAATCCAATCTTAACATTTAGAAACGGGAGTCAACACCGGAAGTCGACGTGCAAGGAGTCGAGTAATTAATTATTTTGGAGTTGACTCTCTACCACTATGTCATCGTCATTAACAGTTGTAAAAATGTCAGAGAAAGGAAAGCAACAGCAGCGAAATCTTGTATGGCAATACTTTGAGAAGTTAAATGAGAAGGAAATGCTAACTTTGTGAGGTGGAATTGAGGTAGAGTAATGGTAGTACAGCTGCAATGCTTAACCATCTGAAAGGGACACACTGTGAGACCCAAACTGTTGCTGGCAGCAGCGCAGCTGCATTGTGCATTCACATGGAATTTTATACATTCTTCTTATCGTTTTAACGGAAAAACATATTTTTAATTTGTCACATCCATAATGATAATGTCAAGTTTCTCTGTAGTCTGTAGCATTTGTTTAGGGTATAAAAAGCTGTGCATGAAGAAAAGAAGGGTGATATGCACATCCTAAACTTGAGAATACCAGTGCTGGACAAAAAAATGACACTGAGATATACACTGTAGGAATGAGAGGACTGTACAATGAATTTTGCTGCTCCGCAGTGCTTTATTCCTGCACTCAAATACAGTACACAACGTTTCCACTTCACAGAAGTCTTCGTCAGGAGACAAAGCTGAGCTCCATGGAATCAGGAGACAGCAGCGTTCGTTCCCTGAATTTAATTCTGCATGATGTCTTTTATAGCTGAGGAGAGAGTGGTGCTATTTGCGGGGCTATTTTCTCCCCCATTGTGTGAGGTGTAAAAATAACTGCAGTCAGAGATGCTGCCTGGCAGGCAGGTTGGGACTCACCCACACCACTTCTTTCTTTATCAATGAGCTGGCTGCGTCCCAAATGACACCCTATTCCCTATATAGTGTGCTACTATTAACGAGAGCCCTATGGGCTTATAGGACAGTCTGGTCAAAAGTAGTACACTAGATATGGAATAGAGTTCCATTTGGGATGTAGACATTGTCTGTCCCCTCCTCTATCACCCTGCTATAGGCGACACAGCCTGGATGACATTCAATTGGAGAAAAGCAACGCAACATGACTTAGTGACATAAGCGACATACTGTATGAGCAAAAACATCAACTAGGATTAGAACCTTGTAGTGATTAGACAGTTTCATAACTAAGCTTTGTTTTTGTCTTGTGTTTCCTTCTGACTAACAATGAGCCAACTGCACTTGTGCAAATGGTCGGTAAATAGAATCTTAAAGTGACTGGATCAAGGTGTCCCAACATGAAATCATGTATGACTTTTTCCCTCTGGGACAGCCATCCAGGGTGTATCCCAAATGGCATCCTATTCCCTAGTTGGTGCACTGTTTTTGATCAGGTCTCATAGGGCCAAAAGTAAAAAGTATAGGGAATAGAGTGTGATTTGGGATGCAGTGCCAGTCCATCTGAATAGGGCCTGACATAACCGCTTTACGACACAGAAAGATCGATCCAATGGAAGAGAATGCAATGTGGTCAAATTCCCCTCCAAAACTTTCGACGAGACAGGAGGGAGCAACATGTCGTGCAAATCCCCCCCACCGTAGTAAGGCATTAGACTTTCTGCAAAAATGAACTTAGAACATAAAGACTTAAAAAATAGGTCACTGACAACAGAAAAGAGACGGGGAAAAAATCCACAGACTCTAAATCGTAACCTGATTGTGGCCTTAAAGAATATCATTTTTTATAACTCATTTCGAGAATTACATAAAATGTTATTGGACAGTATAGTAATCTGTGCTAAGTCTGGCTGTGGCAGCGGTAGCGACAGTTGGTGACATAGACATGGCCCTATCCGGATTACATTTCCTCTGCCTGTGAAAGCGTGACAAGCCCCTCGGCCACTGGCGGCCGACGGAGAGCCAAGTTAAATGCACAATGATACAACCCACATTAATCTCCACTGGCCCTTTGCTAAATGTTTACCTGTAGATGAGAGAGAGAGCGACGGGAAGCTGGAGTGGAAAATGTCTGGCTTAGCCTACCACTAGCAAGAAAGACATACATACAGCATAAACCCAATGTAAAACCTTGAAAAATGCTATGCAAACGCCAAAGGAACTTTAAAGCAAAAACTGACTGGCCATAGGGCAGTTTGGGCAAATTCCAGATGGGCTGGTCAATCTTTAGGACAGTGCAACTGTCAATTATTAATATTTTGCATAGAATGATAATTAATTGGCTAATAATTGGGGCCTGCATAGTGTGTACAGATGTCGGATCTTAATTTGAGCCAGTTTGCTACAGCAGGAAAATTATAGCCCGCGAACTTTCCAGTGGCACTCTCCTATTCAAACAGATTTTTCCCGCCTTTGTATTTTGAAATATTACGAAATACCTTCTAGCTGCTGCCTGCTGTTCATTGACAGCCACAACTCAACAATCAGCTGTTTTATATTTGCAGCGCGGGATGCCCAATTTTTTTTCATTTTTTTATTTCACCTTTATTTAACCAGGTAAGCCAGTTGAGAACAAGTTCTCATTTACAACTGCGACCTGGCCAAGATAAAGCGAAGTAGTGCGATAAAAACAACAACACAGAGTTACATATGGGGTAAAACAAAACGTGCAAATGTAGCAAGTTATGGAGGTAAGGCAATAAATAGGCCATAGTGCAAAATAATTACAATTAGTATTAACACTGGAATGATAGATGTGCAAGAGATTATGTGCAAATAGAGATACTGGGGTGCAAATGAGCAAAATAAATAATAATATAGGGATGAGGTAGTTGGGTGGGCTAATTTCAGATGGGCTGTGTACAGGTGCAGTGATCGGTAAGGTGCTCTGACAACTGATGCTTAAAGTTAGTGAGGGAGATAAGAGTCTCCAGCTTCAGAGATTTTTGCAATTGCGGGATTCCCGACTGTAGAGTAGGCCTAAGTGCTCATAATGTGACAAAACACAATCTACAGCCATTTTTTATAATAAGCTATTGATCCTCTGTGGCTAAATTATGCTGGTGTAGTATTGTCAATGACTTCATAGATTTTTTATAGAAAAAGTAGTAATTATGTAATTTGGCAAATGTATTTCAATTTATCTGCAACGCCAGGATTGTGGGTTCATTTCCCATGGGGGGCCAGTATGAAAATGTATGCACTCACTAACTGTAAGTCGCTCTGGATAAGAGTGTCTGCTAAATGACTAAAATGTAAATTTAATCTGCAGCACTTCCAGCACCCCTTCCTGAAGCGCTATGTTTTCTTCTACGTTCCGAGGCCAAATAAATTAATCAACACTTCTTATTATTCATTCAATCGATTGTGGTCAGTAAAACCATATGAGGTTATTGTGTAGGTAGGCCTACTGTTACAATAATATTTAAAATAACCTATCAACAAGTAGCCTAGCTTACAATTACGAGAATAAATTCAGTAAGTCAATGAAGCCAATAGTGGTTTCAGCTCTATTGTTAATGAAACGATGTAGGGCCTTATGAGCTTTTTAAACAATAAAAATGTCAAATGACTTGAATAGCCTATGGGAAAAGTTTACAAATGTATATTCGCATCAGTAGGCTAAGTGACTGAAACGCATCAGAAAAGTATTGGAAAGTTCAGGAAAACACCAGGGAAGCTCATCAGGCTATAGGCCTAATGTGTGTATGAAGAGGAGATCTGCATTGCTTTAATTTCTAGACTAAAGATCATCAGTACTTACCTCAACTTAGCTAACATTTCCCAGCCTAATTATAACCAAATATCCAAATATATATCTATTATTTTAGGTAGCCTACCGGAGCACCATTTTTGTATTATTACAAAGTCATCATTTCTGAATGAAAGTTGGTACCGACATGAAGCCTATTGTATAAAATCATTTTAGAATATACATACAATGCATCATCCAAATTGCATGATTGCCTACACATACTGTAAGTGGCTAAAGGAAAATGTTATATTTTTAAAATCCTAAAACACCAAATTAGGCCTACCTTATTATAAATTAGGCCATCATCACTGTCAATCGTGAATGATAATTATTCACGTTTTAAAGGTGAAAGGTCCATGCTGCATGCATGCCAACCATTTGATCCCAATCAGCTTAATGGAATATGCATTTCGATCTTCTTGAATGATGTAAGGGTGGCCTAACTAATTGAATTGTAGAGCAGATGGAGATAAACACAACCACAGCATGAGAAAAAAAATCAACATTTCAGCACAATCATCCTAAATTGTCATAATAAATGACATGGTGTTTTTGGTATAACAGTAGCCTGACATTATCATGCTATTATATTCGGTTTGTTATGAAGAATACTAATTAATCATGTCTGAGAAGTGGCGGAGCGTCGCACCTTACCCCTGATTATAAAGGTTGGATGACTTCGGGAGTTTCACTTAATTACAGCTCTATGAACTAAGTGGAGCATTCAGTAACTACATATTTTTTTTACACCATTGCAGCAGCGCAAAAGATTCGGGGCTGACCCAGAATCATTAGGGGATAAAGCCCCGAAAGCCAGGTCCTGGTGACGTCCATGATGAGACCGTCTACCATTAATGAGCACCATTAGACTGATTGGCCAGTTTTGTCTTCATCTGTAAATGGTATTTCCCCAGTACAATACATGTGTTTTTTTCCCAAATGGCACCCTATTCCCTAAATAGTGCACTACCTTGAGGGCCCTGGTGAAAGTAGTGCACTATAACATGGAATGGAGTACCATTTAGAAAGCAGCCAGGTAGTGTGTGCCTGTGTGGTCTGGGGAACTGGGACTACCACCCTCATGCTCCACTGCTTCTCACTCTCTAGCCATTCCGGGATCAATTACATGGTCTGTGACATCAGTAGCCCATGCTAGCCCCATCATATGATGCAAAACTCATCATACCAGCTGTATTTCTGCCTGCTTGAGCAGCAATAGCTCAGATACAAATGAAAACATGAAATGACCCCGGAAATCAATAGAACATCGTTCAGAGATGCACAAAAACAATATAACATTCAAAGTGTGTGAATCTTTCCTTTAATGCTATTTCACAGACCTGTGTGCATCGGTGTACACACTCTCCCGACCTCGTATAGCACCTCAAAATATCACGTGTGACAGGCGCTGTGACACCGTGTTTTTCTCCTCTCCTGTCCATCCCCCTGTTCCTCTCTTCATCTCCTCTCCATCCCCCTGTTCCTCTCCTCTCCTTTACGCAAGAAAGGAAGGGAGGGGAAGAGAAAGAAGGTTGCTGAGCGAGAGGGAGGGGAGAGGGAGGGGAGAGGGAGAGAATAGGATAGAGCAGGACCCTGTTCCTGGAGAGCTACCGTCCTGTAGGTTTTTGCTCCAACCCTAATCTAGCACACCTGATTCTAATAATTAGCAGGTTGATAAGATGAATCAGGTTAGTAACACCTGGGGTTGGAGTGAACTACAGGAGGGTAGCTCTCCAGGAACAGGGTTGGAGTGAATGACAGGAGGGTAGCTCTCCAGGAACAGGGTTGGAGTGAACGACAGGAGGGTAGCTCTCCAGGAACAGGGTTGGAGTGAACGACAGGAGGGTAGCTCTCCAGGAACAGGGTTGGAGTGAACGACAGGAGGGTAGCTCTCCAGGAACAGGGTTGGAGTGAACGACAGGAGGGTAGCTCTCCAGGAACAGGGTTGGAGTGAACGACAGGAGGGTAGCTCTCCAGGAACAGGGTTGGAGTGAACGACAGGAGGGTAGCTCTCCAGGAACAGGGTTGGAGTGAACGACAGGAGGGTAGCTCTCCAGGAACAGGGTTGGAGTGAACTACAGGAGAGTAGCTCTCCAGGAACAGGGTTGGGCAACCCTGGGATAGAGGGAGGAAAGTCCGGTGAGAGAATGAGGGGTTGGAGAAGAGCGAGTGAGGGGGATGGGAACAATAAGAAGGGAAAGAGAAAGAATGGAGAAAGAGTAAGGAATAAAGATAAAGGACCGATGGAAAAGAGAAAGCGAGATAACAGGTCTAAGGGGAGCCAGATCTTTAACTGGGAACCCTGGCAGTCTGCGCTGTGGTTGACGGCCAATTAACACCACAGAGACCTCTCTCTCTCTTTCTCTCTCTCTCTCTTCCTTGTCTTTCTCTCTCTCATTCAACATCACTCCATTTTATGCATATTTCATTGGCTAATAACCTGAAGCCTTCTATGTGCCCGGATTGACAGTGTTATTAGATACCTGCCCTGCGTGTTGCTGTGCCTGCCTTGTAACTTGTAATCTGGCACCGTCATTGCATTAGCATCTGGCACCGTCATTGCATTAGCATGCAACGGTGGATCTCGCACCATAAATCAAGATTTATCGTTTCACCTTGAGCAAACGTTTCGAATTGTTCTGAAGTCAAGTGTAAATCCTTATTGCGAGAAGTGCGGGCACAATGTGCTAGCTGTGAAGTAGGAGCCCGTCAAATGTGCCGAGGTAAGGTCCCCTTAACATTCATACATTTTTGTTTCATAAATGAGCAGAGCCATATGGCAATTTCAGCACTGCCTATGCATAATGCAATAGATAATGAGGACAGTTCTCTGAAGTCCAGACAATTGAATATTTTACATTCATTTCGTACGTAATTTGGTGACATTGATTGATTGTTGGGGATATTTTTACAGACGAAACGAGAGGTCCGCCTTGGTTTGAATCTGAGTTTGTGTCTGAAATGGAACCCCATTCCTTATAGTGCAGTACTTTTAACCAGAGCCCTCTCTCTTTCACACTCAATTATTTTCTCTCTCCCTCTGTCACTCTCTCTTTCACTCTATATATGTTGCTCTCCCTCTCTCTCCCTCTGTGTTTTTCTCTGTTTTGCTAACTCCAGTGTATCACTGACTCCTTGGTATTGCTCTGAGGTGATGGAGGGGAGGAGGGCAGACAGACAGTGTTGGTTTGCTGTCAGAGTGTGTTTTGGGAACAGCCTGTAGAGCTGATTAGAGCTGTGTAGTCAGACAGAGGGGCTCAAGGGCCTTTGAGGGCCTAGTGATGTGAGAAACCATTGGCCTCAGGAGGACACAGGCCCTCGGCATTTAACTCTGGCTCGCCTCGCGTACACTGCTCAGATCTGGGCTACGATTAAATACAAACAAACAAACAAATACACACACAAACACACCAGACCTCCCTAATGCAACAGGCATTGCGAGGAAATGTTCTCAACGAAAAGGAATATGTCTAATCTGCCCCTCTTATTATTATAAAGCCGCAAATATTTGGTTTGCGGAATCTTTTATACCCTATACGTTGTGTTTTGTGTGCACTTTGAATTTCCAGACTATTTAACAAGCATTCTGGGGCTGTGCACAGTATTGTGTTGTTTCTGAGATCTCGGTGCATGAATCCCTATGAGAGCGCCTGCTCAAGGTTGATTCTAATGATCTGTCATTGGGTATTCAGCGTGTCTACCACTGAGCTTCCTCATTAGATGAATGTCATCTCGGTGCTGTGTTCTAGGTATCCACTCTGTAACCAGCCTGCTTCCTCGCAGCGAGTCTAATTTCATTTATGGGCTGTGTCTCAAATGGCACCCTGTTCCCTATATAGTGAACTACTTTTGACCAGGGCCCATAGTGCACTATATATGGGTATAGGGTGCAATTTGTGACATAGCCCTGGTCAGTCCACCTGTAAAGAGGCAGTCTTGGCCAGCAGCTAGCCTGGAGAGAGCCCCTTCTCGCTCACTAATTACAAAGATAAGTTGCTAGCAGATAACCTGGTATGGATTACCCCAGCCATTTTACATGATAGACCAGCTGTAAAAATAGCTGCTTAATGATCTGGCCTCTCGCCAGAGAGAGAGAGGGAGAGTAGACTCGGTCAGGGGAAGTGCAGCCTCATTGGCTGTAATGGTTTATGAGGCAGTAATTCATAAGCACCTGCCTAGCGCACCGGTAATGTGTTATTTACAGAAAACACTTGCTGTGCCTATGTGTCCTATTGGGGTATGGTCAAGTGCACGAAATAGGGAATAGGTTGCAATTTGGAACGCAGGCTAGGATGCTTCAGGATGGAGATAGCTTCTGAGGACAAGAAGTGTTTATATGCAGCCGGTTAACCTTCATAGTTCTTTGAGGGTGTTTTTCTGTCAAAGTAGATTCTCCAGGGAATCTATGTGACAGCTGTTTGGATCCAAGTACTGTATTTCTGTGTCTCTAACACGATGGTCGTTTCCACCATAGTATTAATGCCTCTTCCATAGTTCCCTATAAAACATAGACGTTCAACAAAATATACATACAGTTGATGTTGTTGCTGTACAAGGGTTGCAAAATACCATTAACATTCCCAACATAAAAAAAAAAGGGAATTTTGGTAAAGTTACTGAAATGTTGCAACCCTATGTAGAATGGACTGATTGTTCCCTATGAGGAGAGACAGAGCCATTGTGCTGAGACAGCATGTTGTGGAACACACATCTGTCAGACATGGACTCCATGATTTATCCCCTTCTGCCACAAACATCACCAGTACATATAATGCCTGCGTCCCAGATAGCACACTATTCCTTAGTGCACAACCTATATTCACCCATGCAGACACCCAAAAGTAGTGCACTACATAGGGAATATGGTGCCATTTGGGATGTAGTCGAAGGGTAGTACTAGAGCCAGAGTTCCCTGTCCCCTAGCCTGAGAGTCTGACTACCAAAACAGGATACAGGATAGGGGACTGATGTGAGGATAGTACCTTGGCCTTCTCCAGCTGTGCCTGAGCCTGCCGCTCTGCCTCTCGTCGCGCTGCCTCCTTATCCTCCTCCAGGGACACATCGGAGTCTGATGGACGGCTGGTGTAGGAGTCCGCCGAACCCTGCAGAGTAGAGGGAAACACACATTAATGATAGATACATGACAGACTTACTCTTCAGACCTCAACATCACACAACAGGCTTACTCTTCAGACCCCAACATCAAACAACAGACTTACTTATATGTGGATTCGTTTCCCACGGGGGGCCAGTATGAAAATGTATGCACTCACTAACTGTAAGTCGCTCTGGATAAGAGCGTCTGCTAAATGCCTAAAATGTAAATGTAAATACTTATCAAACCTTAACATCAAACAACAGACTTACTCTTCAGACCTCAACATCACACAACAGGCTTACTCTTCAGACCCCAACATCATACAACAGACTTACTCTTCAGACCTCAATATCAAACAACAGACTTACTTATCAAACCTCGACATCAAACAACAGACTTATTCATCAGACCTCAACATCACACAACAGACTTACTCTTCAGACCTCAACATCGAACAACAGACTTATTCATCAGACCTCAACATCACACAACAGACTTACTCTTCAGACCTCAACATCGAACAACAGACTTATTCATCAGACCTCAACATCACACAACAGACTTACTCTTCAGACTCACACTCATCAGACACACCAACACTCACTGTCACAGTATCTATACACCATGCCCCTGCTGTCAGTGAGGCATCACAGTATCTATACACCATGCCCCTGCTGTCAGTGAGGCATCACAGACCATGCCCCTGCTGTCAGTGAGGCATCACAGTATCTATACACCATGCCCCTGCTGTCAGTGAGGCATCACAGTATCTATACACCATGCCCCTGCTGTCAGTGAGGCATCACAGTATCTATACACCATGCCCCTGCTGTCAGTGAGGCATCACAGTATCTATACACCATGCCCCTGCTGTCAGTGAGGCATCACAGTATCTATACACCATGCCCCTGCTGTCAGTGAGGCATCACAGTATCTATACACCATGCCCCTGCTGTCAGTGAGGCATCACAGTATCTATACACCATGCCCCTGCTGTCAGTGAGGCATCACAGTATCTATACACCATGCCCCTGCTGTCAGTGAGGCATCACAGTACCTATACACCATGCCCCTGCTGTCAGTGAGGCATCACAGTATCTATACACCATGCCCCTGCTGTCAGTGAGGCATCACAGTACCTATACACCATGCCCCTGCTGTCAGTGAGGCATCACAGTATCTATACACCATGCCCCTGCTGTCAGTGAGGCATCACAGTTGAAAGGTCCAGATTTGAAGACAATTGCTGGTAAACTAGTTTGCAATGGACATTACTGCCTTGTCCAGCAGTGTCTCACTGAAACTCAAGCAGAAGTCATATTTTTGGAGATGGTGTGTGAAGACAGAGGGGTTCTGTCAAATACAATTTTTTTTTTTTTAAACACTGAGGCCACAAATAAAGTAATGACCACACTCAACCACAGAGGTACAATGAATCTTCGGAGAGCATCAGAGCCTAGTTAGTGAACTTAGTGAACAGGCACACATGTCTAAAACTCACACAATACTCACACCCAGAGGGAGGAGAGGCAGAAAGAAATCACAATAGCTAATTGGGTGTGTTTCAAATGGACACTACCCTGCTTCTCAGAAAGCAGCAGGACACCCACTATCCCACATAGCCTCAGGCCACATCTAACTGTAGTGCACTATAGCTGTAGGTTTGTTGTCTTCCATGATGTGAGCTCTCTCCTCGCTCGCTCACTCTCTCTCTCTCTCTCGTCTCCTCGATCTCTACTCTCTCTCTCTCCTCTCTCCTTGCTCCTTCCCTCTCCTCTCTCTCTCCTCCCACCTCTATGTTCTCTCTCTCCACTCTATCATATCTCCATCTATATATAACACAGAACAGAGTAGAACAAGACATGAGAAAAGATCGCATTTTCTCTCTCCGCCTCTCACACGTACACCAAAAGTATGTGGACACTCCTTCAAATTAGTGGATTCGGCTATTTCAGCCACACTCGTTGCTGACAGGTGTATAAAATCGAGCAAAAAGCCATGCAATCTCTATAGACAACCATTGGCTGAGAATGGCCTGAACTGAAGAGCTCAGTGACTTTCAACGTGGCTCCGTCATAGGGTGCCACCTTTCCAACAAGTCATTTCGTCACATTTCTGCCTGGCTAGAGCTGCCCCAGTCAACTGTAAGTGCTGTTATTGTGAAGTGGAAACGTCTAGGAGCAACAACGGCTAAGCTGCGAAGTGGTAGGCCACACAAGCTCACAGAACGTGACCGCCGAGTGCTGTTGTGTGTAAAAACGTCTGTCCTTAGTTGCAAAACTAACTACTGAGTTCCAAACAGCCTCTTTAAGCAACGCCAGCATAAGAACTGCTCGTTGGGAGCTTCATGAAATGGGTTTCCATGGCCGAGCAGCCGCACAAAAGCCTAAGATCACCATGTGCAATGCCAAGCATCGGCTGGCATGGTGTAAAGGTCGCCGCCATTGGACTCTGGAGCAGTGGAAACGCATATTAGGAAGGTGTTCCTAATGTTTTGTACACTCAGTTTATACACAGAGGCAGGCACAGGCACACTGGTACACACACCCACTCTGCTAAGATACAATGCAGGCAGGCAGCCCAGTATGTTTATAGCCCTGTTATGTTATTGTCAGACTCAGAGGGGCTTTTTGAACAGAAGGAAGGGTGATGCATTCTCTTACCTGCACAGAGAGGCATGCCACTGCCAGCCACACAAGGTCCTCACTGCACCATTACACTCCTCTCTGTTCTCCTCTGTCTGGGTTCAAAACAATAATAAATAACCTCAAACTCTACCAGGCTGATTAAAACTACCCAAGCATCCCGTATACGATCATCTTTAACTTGGGCTCTCCCATACCTGTAGCTGACGTGTGGATACGCTCCTCTTTAACATTATACATCACACCTGAAACATTAATCAAACCACACTATCCATACTCATCTCCTGCATCATACAGATGTATGATATTCATTTGATCACTCTTTTGTTATTGATAATTGTCCTGCCCAGTAACAATGTCAGACTTGATTTGCCGTAACGTAAAATGTATCAACCCCTAAAAAAAATCTCCATGAATTATAATCCACATAATAATTGACATTTCCTGTTGCTGCAGGATTATTTTACTGCTGTATCAAACTGGCTCAAATTAAGATCCTACATCTGTAGATGAGACACTGCTCATTAACTATCCATGTCTCTTCTCCTACGTTGTACCTGAGACACCATCTATAAATAACTCTCTACTCTTTATCTGAAACACTGCTTATGTTTTATGCATTTTGCTTAATGCTTTGGATATCGGTGTCTTACCTCGTTCGTTAAAGCCTACCTAAAAATACTTTTAGTACCCCCACCTTAACATCACAGTAGCTATGCACACACATGCAAACATATTCGCGCACGTAAGCACGCACGCACCCACCCATCCACACACCCACCTACCCACCCACCCATGCACACACGCCCGCACTCATGCGCGAACGCACATGGTTGTGTAGGTTACTTTCCAATTGTAATCAGTAATGTAACTTTTAGATTAACATAATATGATTACTCTCAGTTACTTATGGATTACTTTCCCCTTAGAAGATGCCAAAAAAGTTCCATCAAACACGTGTGGTGTGTCATCATAGTGGTCAATGACTCGTTCAGGCTGAACAATCTTAAAATTGCGCCTTTTTTTCAATGCTGAATTTAATGCCATTGAGAAAACAGAAAGGTGTCCTTTATTTAATTTTTTTAAACATCCTTTCTGTAAAAGTAATCCAAGAAGTAATCTCGTTTTTCAAAAGTATCTGTATACTTCCTGGTAATGTAACTGATTATTGCTATTGTTTATTGAGTAATCAGTTACTCGCCAACCCTGCGCGCGCGCACACACACGCACGGACTGGCTACAGTATAACACACAACCACACCAACCTAACTCACGTATCCTTGTCTCCTCATGTAACTGACATTGTTCAATCCATCTTCCATTATGTCCAGAGTAATGCATGGGTCTGACCCAGAGAGTTACAGCACAATGGGTTTGAGAGAGGTGATGACATGATGAGGACTCTGACAGTGATGACAGACAACCCACTACCCCTCATCATCACTAACGCAGCATTACAATACCCCTGACCCCTATACAGGCACGCACAGGTACATGCGATGATGTACATTCAGTACACACACACACACACACACACACATACATTCACGCGCACACACACGTGCACACATATACACACACGAGATAAGCAAGCATGTTTGAATAGTCGGCTTACACAGTCATCGGAGCTCTTGACGCGACCTCCCTTGGATCGTTTCAGCAGCCGAATCCAGGTGGCCTTCATCAGCCACACTTGTCATTCAGTTTCCTGGGCCACTGTTACATATCCCTACAGATACCTGGACTGCTATCGCAACAAATACCTCTACAGCTATGGCTACCTTTGCTGTGAAAGCTACCTTTGTTAGGGCTACCTTTGGTGTGACTGCCAATACCTTTGTTGTTAAGGCTATCCCTAACGCTACAGCAACAGCTAGTGCTACTGCTACTGCTACTGCTACTGCTACTGCTACTGCTAGGTAAAAAGCTACTGCTACATGTAATGCTCCAACTACCATTAATGCTGCTGCTACGCTGTCCACATGAGCTCTCCAACGGGTGCATAATCTCAGCAGCTGCCTGTCTCTCCTCTAGCCTAGTCTATCTGCCGGCGTTGGTGCTGAAGCTGCCTGGCCAGTGTGAGCTGGGTGGCCACATGCTGCTCCTCTCCCCTGCTTCTCATGCCTCAGTCCCCAAGCTCCAGCCCCAACTCCAGCCCCAGCCCTGTTGTCATTCCTCCACAGGCTGGGCTGCCATGCTCCTTCCTCGGGGACAGATAAGAGCACGCCTGCCTGGATCCTGGATGATCAGTATGAGGATGCTAATGTTGCTGCTACTGCTGCCTGCTGCATGCAATCTCAGCTCTCCGTAGCCTGTCAATGTATATATCCCACACTCTCTCTCGCTTTCTCTCACCGGATTTCTTGCGCTCTGTTTCTACCTCTGTGGTTCTGCCTGTCTCTCACTCTCATCCCCTCTCTCTCTCTCTCTGGCTCCAATCCATATCACTCCCCCTTGCTTGTTCTCTCGTTTTCCCCTGTTCCTCCTCACAGTTCCTCTATCTGTTCTGGTGTCTCCGCTGTGATAAATACTGCCCAGTACATAGGGCCTGTTTGCGTGTGTGTGTCATGTTTGTAAACTATGCATTGATCTATGCATAGATGCAAACATGAAATGTTACACAGATATTTTAAATCAAATCAAATTGTATTTGTCACATGCGCCGAATACAACTGGTCTAGACTTTCCCATGAAATGCTTGCTATTGTTTATTTCATTGTTTATTTTTGGTAATTTTGACCCCTTTGTTCTCCCCAATTTCGTGTTATCCAATTGGTAGTTACAGTCTTGTCCCATCGCTGCAACTCCCGTAAGGACTCGGGAGAGGCGAAGGTCGAGAGCCATGTGTCCTCCGAAACACGACCCTGCCAAGCCGCATTGCTTCTTGACACACTGCTCGCTTAACCAGGAAACATCGTACAACTGGCAACCAAAGTCAGCGTGCATGCGCCCGGACCGCCACAAGGAGTCGCTAGAGCGCGATGGGACAAGGATATCCCGGCCAGCCAAACCCTCCCACAACCCGGACGACGCTGGGCCAATTGTGCGCCTCATGGGTCTCTTGGCCGCAACACAGCCCGGGATCAAAACCGGGTCTGTATTGACGCCTCTAGCACTGCGATGCAGTGCCTTAGACCGCTGTGCAACTCGGGACGCCATGAAATGCTTGCTTACGAGCCCTTCCCAACAATGCAGAGTTTAAAATAGTAACACAAGAATGGAGCTATATACAGGGAGTACCAGTACCAGATTAATGTGCAGAGGTACAAGGTATTTGAGGTAGATATGTACATCAGGATAGATAATAATAAGAGTAAAATAAAGAACAGAGAAGTAGCAGCAACTGATGCGTGTAAAAGTGTGTGTGAGTGTGCGTGTGTGTGTAACGTGTATGTATGTGTGTTTGTGTTGTGTCGGCCTGCGTGTGTGTGTTGTGTGTGTGCGTACAGTGGCTTGCTAAAGTATTCACCCCCTTGGCATTTTTCCTATTTTGTTGCCTTACAACCTGGAATTAAAATTGATTTTTTTGGGGGGTTTGTATCATTTGATTTACACAACATGCCTACCACTTTGAAGATGCAAAATATTTTTTCTTGTGAAACAAACAAGAAATAAGACAAAAAAACAGAAAACTTGAGCGTGCATAACTATTCACCCCCCCCCCCCCCCCCCCCCAAAGTCAATACTTTGTAGAGCCACCTTTTGCAGCAATTACAGCTGCAAGTCTCTTGGGGTATGTCTCTATAAGCTTGGCACATCTAGCCACTGGGATTTTTGCCCATTCTTCAAGACAAAACTGCTCCAGCTCCTTCAAGTTGGATGGATTCCGCTGGTGTACAACAATCTTTAAGTCATACCACAGATTCTCAATTGGATTGAGGTCTGGGCTTTGACTAGGCCATTCCAAGACATTTAAATGTTTCCCCTTAAACCACTCAAGTGTTGCTTTAGCAGTATGCTTAGGGTCATTGTCCTGCTGGAAGGTGAACCTCCGTCCCAGTCTCAAATCTCTGGAAGACTGAATCAGGTTTCCCTCAAGAATTTCCCTGTATTTAGCGCCATCCATCATTCCTTCAATTCTGACCAGTTTCCCAGTCCCTGCCGATGAAAAACATCCCCACAGCATGATGCTGCCACCACCATGCTTCACTGTGTTCTCGGGGTGATGAGAGGTTTTGGGTTTGTGCCAGACATAGCGTTTTCCTTGATGGCCAAAAGCTCAATTTTAGTCTCATCTGACCAGAGTACCTTCTTCCATATGTTTGGGGAGTCTCCAACATGCCTTTTGGCGAACACCAAACATGTTTGCTTATTTTTTTCTTTAAGCAATGGCTTTTTTTCTGGCCACTCTTCCATAAAGCCCAGCTCTGTGGAGTGTACGGCTTAAAGTGGTCCTATGGACATATACTCCAATCTCCGCTGTGGAGCTTTGCAGCTCCTTCAGGGTTATCTTTGGTCTCTTTGTTGCCTCTCTGATTAATGCCCTCCTTGCCTGTTCCGTGAGTTTTGGTGGGCGGCCCTCTCTTGGCAGGTTTGTTTTGGTGCCATATTCTTTCCATTTATTAATAATGGATTTAATGGTGCTCCGTGTGATGTTCAAAGTTTCTGATATTTTTTAATAACCCAACCCTGATCTGTACTTCGCCACAACTTTGTCCCTGACCTGTTTGGAGAGCTCCTTGGTCTTCATGGTGCCGCTTGCTTGGTGGTGCCCCTTGCTTAGTGGTGTTGCAAACTCTTGGGCCTTTCAGAACAGGTGTATATATACTGAGATCATGTGACATATCATGTGACACTTAGATTGCACCCAGGTGGACTTTCTTTAACTAATTATGTGACTTCTGATTTAGGGGCTTCATAGCAAAGGGGGTGAATACATATGCATGCACCACTTTTCCGTTATTTATTTTTTAGAATTTTGTGAAACAAGTTATGTTTTTCACCTCACTTCACCAATTTGGACTATTTTGTGTATGTCCATTACATGAAATCCAAATAAAATTTAATTTAAATTACAGGTTGTAATGCAACAAAATGAGAAAAACGCCAAGGGGGATGAATACTTTTGGAAGGCACTGTATGTAGCGTATGTGAATGTGTGTGGGTTTTGTGTGGGAATGTCAATGTAGTGTGTGTGAGTGAGTGTGTATATGGTTTGTATATATAGTCTAGTGAGTGTGCGTAGGGTCAGTGCAAGATAGAGTCAGTGCAGATAGTTTAGGTATCATTAATTGACTTTTTAGCAGTCTGGCTATTTAGCAGTCTTATGGCTTGGGGGTAGAAGCTGTCTCAGAGCCTGTTGGTCCGAGTGCCGATTAGCAGAGTGAACAGTCTATGGCTTGGGAGGCTGGAGTCTTTGGCAATTTTTCGTGCCTTCCTATGACACCGCCTGATATAGCGGTCCTGGATGGCAGGGAGCTCTACCCCAGTGATATACTGGGCTGTCCGCACCAACCTCTGTAGCGCTTTGCAGTCAAAGGTGGTGCATTTGCCATACCAAGCGGTGATGCAGCTAGTCGATGGTGTCAGCTGTATAACTTTTTGAGGATCCGAGGGCCCATGCGAAATATTTTCAGCCTCCTGAGGGGGAAAAGGTGGGTGTGCAGGTGTGTGTGGACCATGTTAGGTACAGAGTGATGTGAATGCCAAGGAACTTTAAGCTCTCTACCTGTTTCAAGACAGCCCTGTTGATGTGGATTGGGGCATACTCTCCCCTCTTTCTCCTATAGTCCACGACCAGCTCCTTGGTCTAACTGACATTGAGGGAGAGGTTGTTGTCCTGGCACCACACTGCTAAGTCTCTGACCTCCTCACTGTAGGCTGACTCATCGCCGTCGGTGATCAGGCCTACCACTGTCGTGTCGTCAACAAACTTGATGAGGGTGTTGGAGTTGAGCGTGGCTACACAGTCGTGGGTGAACAGGGAGTACAGGAGGTGACCAAGCACACACCCCTGAGGGGCCCCTGTGTTAAGGGTCAGCGTGGTGGAGGTGATGTTGCCTACCCTCACCACCTGGAGCCGGCACATCCGGAAGTCCAGGATCCAGTTGCAGAGGGAGGGTTTCAGTCCCAGGGTCCCTAGCTTGGTGATGAGCTTGGGCAGGACTATGGTGTTGATCGCTGAGCTGTAGTCTATGAACAGCATTCTCACATAGTTGTTTCCCCTCTTGTCCAGGTGAGAGAGGGCAGTGTGAAGTGCAATTGCGATTGCGTCATCTGTGGATCTGTTGGGGCGGTATGCAAATGGGAGTGGGTCTAGGGTGTCTGGGATGATGGTGTTGATGTGTGTCATGACCAGCCTTTCAAAGCAATTCATAATTACAGATGTGTGTGCTACAGGGTGATAGTCATTTAGGCAGGTTACCTTGGAGCTCTTGGGAACTGAGACAATGGTGGTCAGTTTGAAACATGTTGGGATTACAGACTGGGACAAGGATAGATTGAAAATGTCTGTGAAGACACTTGCCAGCTAGTCTGCACATGCTTTGAGAACGCGCCCTGGTATTCTGCCTTGTGATTGTTAACCTGTTTAAACATTTTGCTCACACCAGCCACTGAGAGCGAGATCACACAGTCATCAAAAACAGGGGCTTTCATGCAAGGCACAGTGTTATTTATATTCCTCGAAGCGAGCCTAAAAGGCATTTAGCTCGTTTGGGAGTTCTGCATCGCTGGGCAACTCATGGCTGGGTTTCCTTTTGCAATTCGTTATCGTCTGCAAGCCATGCCACATACGACGAGCGTCTGAGCCAGTGTAATAGGATTCCACCTTCCTCCTATATTGTCCTTTTGCATGTTTGATGTCTCGTCGGAAGCTGTTGCGGGATTTCTTGTATGCTTCCATGTCCGTGTCCTGTTCCTTGTAAGCAGTTGCTCCAACCTTTAGCCCAGCGCGGATATTGCCTGTAATTGGTTTGGATACGTTCTTATAGTCACTGTGGGAACGACATTGTCTATGCACTTATGATGAAGCCCGTGACAGTTGTGGTAAACTCCTCAATACTATCGGATGAATCCTGGAACATATCCCAGTCTGTACTAGCAAAACAGTCTTGTAGCCTCGCGTCTGCTTCATCCGACCTCTTCCGTATTGAGCACATCACTGGTACTTCCTGTTTGAGCTGTTGTTTATACACAGGAAGCAGGAGAATGGAGTCATGGTCAGATTTTGGGCCTTGTATGCGTTTCTGTGGGTAGAATAAAAGTGGTCTAGAGTTGTAGCGCCCCTAGTGGTGCAGGAGACGTGTTGGTAGAAGTGAGGTAGGACGGTTTTATGTCTCCCCTCGTTAAAGTCTCCGCCCACCAGAAATGCTGCCTCTGGGTGAGCGGTTTCTATCCCATACAGTTCATTGAGTGCCAGAGTGGTGGTGTTGGCTTGATGTAGACAGCCGTGATAAGTACGGATCAGAACTCTCTTGGTAGATAAAAGGATATGCAGCTTACCATGAGGTATTCTATGTCAGATTGGAATGACTATGCAAGTAGCAAGTATTATGTACTATTACCATGTCCATTACAAATAGGCCTACTGTATGGAATACTTTCAAATGTAGCCTGAGTGCCAGTATGTTTGTGTCATCATGTTTGGCTTGACAATGAGCAATGGCGATGGTAAGAGCACAAACAGATCTAGGACCAGGCTACTTCAGATGGACCTAATATTACTTGTAAAAACAGCTGAGAAAAAATACAGTTTCATGAGAAGAAATGTGTATACAGTTGCCTAACTATACTGCACATCAAGTGAAACAGGTCCCAAGAAAACAAGAGCAGGCAGTAGTGTTGTGAAAGCCTCTACCAGTGGTATTGCTGATGCTGAGTGCATAGTCTATTGGGTGAAGCGACCTTCCAGGGCATTGTGTGTGTCACACATTTTTTATTTTAGTTTTAGTTTTTTTAAACCTTTATTTGTCCAGGTAGGCCAGTTGAGAACAAGTTCTCATTTACAACTGCGACCTGGCCAAGATAAAACAAAGCAGTGCGATAAAAAACAACAACAACACAGAGTTACATATGGAATAAACAAAACGTACAGTCAATAACACAATAGAAAATCTATATACAGTGTGTGCAAATGTAGAAAGTTATGGAGGTAAGGCAATAGGCTATAGTGCAAAATAATTACAATTTAGTATTAAGACTGGAGTGATAGATGTGCAGAAGATGATGTGCAAATAGAGATACTGGTGTGCAAATGAGCAAAATAAATAACTATGTAAATAACAATATGGGGATGAGGTAGTTGGGTGGGCTAATTACAGATGGGCTGTGTACAGGTGCAGTGATCGGTAAGCTGCTCTGACAACTGATGCTTAAAGTTAGTGAGGGAGATAAGTGTCTCCAGCTTCAGAGATTTTTGCAGTTCGTTCCAGTCATTTGCAGCAGAGAACTGGAAGGAATGGCGGCCAAAGGAGGTGTTGGCTTTGGGGATGACCAGTGAGATATACCTGCTGGAACGCATACTACGGGTGGGTTTTGCTATGGTGACCAATGATCTAAGATAAGGCGGGGATTAGCCTAGAAGTGATTTATAGATGGCTTGAACATTGTCTAATCAGGGTGAGCTAGTGTGATGGGAAGTGTTGCTAGCCTCCAGAGCGTGGCACAGATGTTTTCCATGTAGAGCTGGGTTCCCACTGCCACTGCCCAGAGCAAGGGGCCCTCAGACCAGGCTTGTGTCAGTCTGTGAACACTGGGCACAGTGGCCAGTGAGGGAGGTTGACATGGGACTCAGTCTGACAGAGCGAGCCTCTGGCTGCATGACACAGCTGCCCTAAGGTCCCACTCACACACTGAGATGAAGAGAATTTAGAGAACAGAGCATAGAGAGATACAGTGATGAGTTCACTGTGGCCACCCTGAGGAGAGAGGGTGGGAGGGAGGGAGTGAGGGAGGGAGGGAGGGAGGGAGAGAGAGAGGGATGGGAGAGAGAGAGGGTAGGGAGAGAGTGAGGGAGAGGGGGGGAGGAAGGGTGGGGTTGTTTTTTGTGCGCATACGTGCATCATGTGTCTTGTGTGTGTATGTGTGTGTGTGTGTATGACGATGGGGTCAATGTTGCTTTAGGGTCCCATTGTGTGTGTGTGTGTGTGTGTGTGTGTGTGTGTGTGTGTGTGTGTGTGTGTGTGTGTGTGTGTGTGTGTGTGTGTGTGTCTGTGTGTTTGTGTGTGTGTGTGTGTGTGTGTGTGTGTGTGTGTGTGTGTGTGTGTGTGTGTGTGTGTGTGTGTGTGATGGCAGTCCTCCTGTGGTCTGCTGTAATGGACTTATTGATCCCTCTGGGCTTCTCTGCCACAAACCGTCGCTACATGCTGCGGTTACATGACGGTCAACGCATTAGAACAGCACAAATCACTAAGGCTAATTACAACCATCGAACGGCTGGGTGGCTGTACAGAGGTGTACGGTAGTAGCCTCAGTCCCAGGGCAATGCCAGCATTCCCTTCACTTGGGAATCGCCGATTGTTTTCTATATGTTATAAGCATTTGTAGCTATTACCTGGAAAACAGGGGTTATTCTAAAATGTGTATGCAGTTTAAAAATAGAGTCAAGATGGAAGGTTGTGACATCAAATAATTGAAAATAAAGCTTTGTTAAATAAAGGATAAATAAAAATAGTATAAAATGCTTTAGTCTACCTGGGACTCAGTAAGGCAGATTGTTCATGATGCACCACTTCTTGTTCACCTCTCCCCCTCCCTTCCCATCCAATCTAACCTTCGCAGGTGATAAGTTGTAGCTTATCTCAGAGCATTCTTTTATTCTTAACCTTTCTGGTAGGTTACATTAGTGACGCTTGCTAAAAGTGAAACCCAAAAAAAATCTGTGCATTGTTATACTGACTACATTTCTGCTGCAGTGACACGTTTTTCATAACGTATTAATGCAACAGATGCACTTTTCCCTTCTGCTCTTCTCTTTCTGAGGAATACCGGGAGGGCTAGAAAGCCACAGACTGTCCCACTAGAGAGGAGAGGGGGAGGGCAGTGCTGTGATGGGAGGGTGGTATAAGGTGGAGAGAGAGGGGGAAAGTGGGAGGGAGAGAGAGGGAGAGTACGGGCAATATAATGGGAAACTAGGGGAGGGGGAGACAAGGAGAGGGGAGACAGGCAGTGGGATGGGGATGTGATGGGGAATGGAAGATGAGTATAAGTGAGAGAGAGAGACAGAGTGGAGAGAGTGTGCTACCAGAGGCAGATGTATTGCAAAAGGAAATAGTAAAATGGTATTGTACTGGAAAGATGGGTTAGTCTGTGGACATCTGAGGGTTGGAATTAAGATTGGAGTGGTTGATTAATTGGCCGATACACTTGGAGTTCAGTGCGATTAGGAAATAAACTTTATATATATTGAATTGTAATATTTTCCACCAAGTTCTCCAACCAGGGGAGAGGAGGGTAGGGGCATAATAATAAATACACTAATATATACAGTGAGGGGAAAACGTATTTGATCCCCTGCTGATTTTGTACGTTTGCCCACTGACAAAGAAATGATCAGTCTATAATTGTAATGGTAGGTTTATTGTGAGAGACAGAATAACAACAACAAAATCCAGAAAAACGCATGTCAAAAATGTTATAAATTGATTTGCATTTTAATGAGGGAAATAAGTATTTGACCCCCTCTCAACAGTGAGAGACAGAATAACAACAACAAAATCCAGAAAAACGCATGTCAAAAATGTTATAAATTGATTTGCATTTTCATGAGGGAAATAAGTATTTGACCCCCTCTCAATCAGAAAGATTTCTGGCTCCCAGGTGTCTTTTTTATACAGGTAACGAGCTGAGATTAGGAGCACACTCTTAAAGGGAGTGCTCCTAATCTCAGCTTGTTACCTGTATAAAAGACACCTGTCCACAGAAGCAATCAATCAATCAGATTCCAAACTCTCCACCATGGCCAAGACCAAAGAGCTCTCCAAGGATGTCAGGGACAAGATTGTAGATCTAGACAAGGCTGGAATGGGCTACAAGACCATCGCCAAGCAGCTTGGTGAGAAGGTGACAACAGTTGGTGCGATTATTCGCAAATGGAAGAAACACAAAAAACTGTTAATCTCCCTCGGCCTGGGGCTCCATGCAAGATCTCACCTCATGGAGTTGCAATGGTCATGAGAACGGTGAGGAATCAGCCCAGAACTACACGGGTGGATCTTGTCAATGATCTCAAGGCAGCTGGGACCATAGTCACCAAGAAAACAATTGGTAACACACTTCGCCATGAAGGACTGAAATCCTGCAGCGCCCGCAAGATCCCCCTGCCCAAGAAAGCACATGTACATGCCCGTCTGAAGTTTGCCAATGGACATCTGAATGATTCAGAGGAGAACTGGGTGGAAGTGTTGTGGTCAGATGAGACCAAAATCGAGCTCTTTGGCATCAACTCAACTCGCCGTGTTTGGAGGTGGAGGAATGCTGCCTATGACCCCAAGAACACCGTCAAACATGGAGGTGGAAACATTATGCTTTGGGGGTGTTTTTCTGCTAAGGGGACAGGACAACTTCACTGCATCAAAGGGACGATTGACGGGGCATGTACAGTCAAATCTTGGGTGAGAACCTCCTTCCCTCAGCCAGGGCATTGAAAATGGGTCGTGGATGGGTATTCCAGCATGACAATGACCCAAAACACACGGCCAAGGCAACAAAGGAGTGGCTCAAGAAGAAGAACATTAAGCTCCTGGAGTGGCCTAGCCAGTCTCCAGACCTTAATCCCATAGAAAATCTGTGGAGGGAGCTGAAGGTTCGAGTTGCCAAAAGTCAGCCTCGAAACCTTAATGACTTGGAGAAGATCTGCAAAGAGGAGTGGAACAAAATCCCTCCTGAGATGTGTGCAAACCTGGTGGCCAACTACAAGAAACATCTGACCTCTATGATTGCCAACAAGGGTTTTGCCACCAAGTAATAAGTCATGTTTTGCAGAGGGGTCAAATACTTATTTCCCTCATTAAAATGCAAATCAATTTCTAACATTTTTGACATGCATCTTTCTGGATTTTTTGTTTGTTATTCTGTCTCTCACTGTTCAAATAAACGTACCATTAAAATTATAGACTGATCATGTTTTTGTCAGTGGGCAAACGTACAAAATCAGCAGGGGATCAAATATTTTTTTCCCTCACTGTACACTACCAGTCAAAAGTTTGGACACACCTACTCATTCAAGGGTTTTTCTAAATGTTTTACTATTTTCTACATTGTAGAATAATAGTGAAGATATCACAACTATGAAATAACACATATGGAATCATGTAGTAACCAAAAAAGTGTTAAACAAATCAAAATATATTTTATATTTGAGATTTTCAAATACCCACCCTTTGCCTTGATGACAGCTTTGCACCCTCTTGGCATTCTCTCAACCAGCTTCACCTGGAATGCTTTTCCAACAGTCTTGAAGGAGTTCCCACATACACTGAGCACTTGTTGGCTGCTTTTCCTTCACTCTGCCGTCCGACTCATCCCAAACAATCTGAATTGGGTTGAGGTCGGGGGATTGTGGAGGCAGGTCATCTGATGCAGCACTCCATCACTCTCCTTCTTGGTAAAATAGCCCATACACAGCCTGGAGGTGTGTTGGGTCATGGTCCTGTTGAAAAACAAATGATAGTCCCACTAAGCCCAAACCAGATGGGATGGCGTATCGATTTTTTTATACACACTATATGACCAAAAGTATGTGGAGACCTGTGGGGACTTCCATTCAGCCACAAGAGCATTAGTGAGGTCGGGCACTGATGTTGGGCGATTAGGCCTGGCTCGCAGTCGGTGTTCCAATTAATCCCAAAGGTGTTCGATGGGGTTGAGGTCAGGGCTCTGTACAGGCCAGTCAAGTTCTTCCACACCGATATCGACAAACCATTTCTGTATGGATCTTGCTTTGTGCACGGGGGCATTGTCATGCTGAAACAGGAAAGGGCCTTCCCCAAACTGTTGCCACAAAGTTGGAAGCACAGAATCGTCTAGAATGTCATTGTGTGCTGTAGTGTTAAGATTTCCCTTCACTGGAACTAAGGGGCCTAACCCAAACCATGAAAAACAACCCCAGACCATTATTCCTCCTCCACCAAAATACAGTGCATTCGGAAAGTGTTCAGACCCCTTGACTTTTTCCACATGTTGTTACCTTATAGCCTTATTCTAAAATGGATTAAATACATGTTTTCCCTCATCAATCTGCACACAATAGCTCAAATAAGCAAAGAGAAACGACAGTCCATCATTATTTTAAGACATGAAGGTCAGTGAATCCGGAAAATGTCAAGAACTTTTAAAGTTTCTTCAAGTGCAGTCGCTAAAACCATCAAGTGCTATGATGAAACTGGCCCTCATGAGGACCGCCACAGGAAAGGAAGACCCAGAGTTACCTCTGCTGCAGAGGATAAGTTCATCAGAGTTAACTGCACCTCATATTGCAGCCCAAATAAATGCTTCACAGAGTTCAAGTAACAGACACATCTCAACATCAACTGTTCAGAGGAGACTGCGTGAATCAGGCCTTCATGGTCGAATTGCTGCAAAGAAACCACTACTAAAGGACACCAAAAAAAAGGAGACTTGCTTTGGCCAAGAAACACGAGCAATGGACATTAGACCGGTGGAAATATGTCCTTTGGTCTGATTAGTCCAAATTTGAGATTTTTGGTTCCAACCACCGTGTCTTTGTGAGACGCAGAGTATGTGAACGGATGATCTCTGCATCTGTGGTTCCCACCATGAAGCATGGAGGAGGAGGTGTAATGGTGTGGGGGTGCTTTGCTGGTGACACTGTCAGTGATTTATTTAGAAGGCACACTTAACCAGCATGGCTACCATAGCATTCTGCAGCGATACAGCATCCCATCGGTTTGCGCTTAGTGGGATGTCATGACTGTCCACGAGAATCCAAATAGGTCAGATCAGGTTTGCAATGAATTTCTCCCCAGAGGTCCATAGGTCATTCCTGTAGAATGTCCGAAGCTGGTGCCTTACAGCTGTAGCCTTATCATGTAGTTATCAACTTAGGATAGTGCCCTAAGCAACACACCACTAAGGAGGATCACCCTAGATCTGACATAAGACAGTAATTTTGCCAAGACCGTGGACGTATATAGAATAGAGTCCAATTAGATGATTAAGGTGTGGTAACTATATTTTGTATCTTTTGTTTGTGTTTTTATTCTTGACATTTGTAATTATTTATTTTCTTTGACACTTAGGAAGTGATACTGCCACAAACAAGTTCCCCATACAACCACCAATTAGTGCCACAATGCCGCTAATTTGGGGAAGAAATGTAACGATGTATAGCGTGTGTTGTGTGTTATTAACGTCTGCCTACATTACTGCCAAAATCCACCAGCCTGGACAACGGGTCCGGAACGACGATACACAACCAGGACATTCCATGGCCATTCTTGTGGTGTTCTGCAGCTCGCATAAATCCTACTAGGTTAAACCACCAGAGGGGGACTGTCACAACGATCCACAACCAGGATTCCTGTGGTCATTCTTGTGGTGGGTTGCAACTTGCAGAATCCTTCCAAGATTGAACCCACCAGAAGGGGACTGTCATGACTGTCCACGAGAATCCAAATAGGTCAGATCAGGTTTACAATGAATAACTTAAATCAGACCCCCTCTCACCCATAGAGGGGAAGGAAAGAACTAGGGGGAATTAACAACTCACGCCCTGTTGTAAATCAGGGGAGAAGAATCAGGCCTGCACTCTCAAGATTTACCAAAGGAATGTTCTTTGTTCCAACATACTTTTTCCTGCTGAAACTCTACCACATTCAAACGCGAATACTGGAACAATATTTCTAACGTAGAACGTGGGGAATGGTCAGAGGCGATCTATAGGACACTAAGGTCATTTTGTTTGTTATTTTGTGATGTCATAAAAAATGTTATAAAGGAAATACTGTAACTTGGAAAGTATATCCACTACATATATGACGTTCCAATACTATACGTTGTGCATGTAATATGAACAATTATGAAAGTATTTTTGTTAAGAGAGGGATGCGATTTGAGAAGATATAAGAGATAATTATTTTCCATAAGACTTTGCACAATGAGTAATCACCGCCCCAGGGAGCATGCCAGCCTGCCGGAACCGCCCCTTTCTAGAAAAAGGTATAAAGGAGGGGTTACGAATTAACACATTAGACCAGAAAAGCCGCTTCACGTTTAAAATGGTTTGAACTTTGAATCTCAACACGAGGTGAAGACGATAAACTCACCTTCCGTACAATCACTGGTACAGCTGATTAGCTGTCCTAAGCAAAGTATCTTACAAAGCAAATTTAAGTAGGACAATCCTGTTACTCTGCTCAAACCATCGTATTATGCTACTCTCATCACCCCATGGGGGAACCATCGATACGGCTGTCTAGCCTATCTCCAATGAAGCATCTTCAAGAGCAAATGGAAGGAAAATCAACTCTGTAGTTCTATTCAGGACCACACGACAAGTCATACCGGACAACTACGAAGAAGGACAACAGGAGAAGAGTTGTTGGAACCATTTTGGACCATCAGAGCCTTACAAGCATGTCGCGAAAGGGCCCAACCCCCTTTCCAAGGCTACCCCGTTCACCGAGAGATCCCCGGTGAATGCAGGCATTTCACGTAAATACATTCATGATTTCTTGCTCAAAGCGGGTGGCGGTTTGTGCGCAAAGTACATGGTTACTGTAGGTGAGAGTATTTTCTGAATGTGGCAATTGTAAGTGTCTCTGTCCCTCTCTCTCTCCCTCTTCCTCTCTTCTTTAACTAGCACCCATGTTGTTGTCATTCCGCTAGGGACCTGTTTTCAACGTATTAAGTCTCCAGTCAATAACTGGTGCAGAGTGTGTGTGTTTATCCTGTGTTCCCATTTAATTAGCTAGTAAATAAATAATTAAACCAATTTGTGTAGTACTGAAACATAAATAAGGCTCGGGTTTTTTCAGATGCAAGGAGGTTACGACTGTTCAGAATGATGATATGATACGAGGTTATGATTAATAAGTTGACTGTTTATAGATGTGATATGTAAAGACATTTTAGAGTTTAATTCGGGAGATGGTAACTCTTTAAAGGGACTGCTCTCGTGGTGCCCCAGATCCTAATGAGTTAATTGTTACATGATTAATTGAATCGGGTAACAATTAAACATAGTTAGTTAATTAGATAAATAACAGTCTTCAGATGAATGTTAAAGTCAAGTCACGACAGGGACTATCATTTGTTTTTCAACAGGACAATGACCTAAAACACACCTCCAGGCTGTGTAAGGGCTATTTGACAAAGGAGAGTGATGGAGGGCTGCAACAGATGACCTGGTCTCCACGATCACCCAACCTCAACCCAATTGATATGGTTTGGGATGAGTTGGACCGCAGAGTGAAGGAAAAGCAGCCAACAAGTGCTCAGCATATGTGGGAACTCCTTCAAGACTGTTGGAAAAGCATTCCTCATGAAGCTGGTTGAGAGAATGCCAAGAGTGTGCAAAGCTGTCATCAAGGCAAAGGGTGTCTACTTTGAAGAATCTCAAATATAAAATATATTCATTTGTGTAACCCTTTTTTGGTTAATACATGATTCCATATGTGTTATTTCATAGTTTTGATGTCTTCACTATTATTCTACAATGTGGAAAATAGTAAAAATAAAGCAAAACCCTCGAATAAGTAGGTGTGTCCAAACTTTTGACTGGTACTGTATATATATATATATATATATATATATATATATATATATATATATATATATATATATATACAAAAAAGGGGGATTAGAAATGATGCAGGTAATTGTATTTGATATATTTCAATTATATCTGCTAATTTCATATCCCATAAAAACATTGTGCATGAATCCATAGAAATATAATTCAAATTCCATGGTCAGATCCTATTCCGAACCAGTACTATGAAGATGGAAATGACTTTATCTCACAACATATCTTTTCCTGGTCCATATTATCAGATGTCCGTATCTTGGATTTTAATTTTTTTTCCTAATCTCCTGTGACAGACTGCATTATTGACATTCAGGAATACAGGTAGCATCCCAAATGGAACCCTATTCCCTACACAGTGCACTATACAAGGAATGGGGTGCCATTTGGGACGTACACAGAGAGGAGAGAGCCAGTAGTTTGTTTGTGACTCAATCTGTAACTGTGTTCATTCTTTAACTGGAACAAAAGGCTGCTGCTTCACAGCCATCTGTCTGTAAATGTCACATCACTCACAGGAACAGAAAGTCTATTAAATCATCTTCCTATACACTACGACTGCTTTCTCCTACTACACAATTGACAATTGTACACAAAGAAAGACATGACAAAAGATGTACTGTTAGAATCTGTGTTCGACTCCTGCCACTGCTTCCCACTCTAACTGATAATGAAGAACGGAAGCAGAGAGAAAGGGAGAGTGAGAGAGAGGGAGAGAAAGAGAGAGAAAATGAGAGATAAAGGGGAGAAAAAAATGAAAACGTGAACGGGTAATTGAGAGATTGAAAGAATGAGTGAATGAATATGTACGTGTGTGTTTACGTGCGTTCCTGGATGCGCACGCGTTTCCATAATCCATACATTTTTGGAAGTGTGAGTGCGCGGGAGCGATCGGTCACGTACTGAATTAATGGATTCTCTGGCGTGGGGAGCAGGATTGGCTGCTTGGACGTCAAGGTGACACTCAGGGAACAGGGAGGAACAGGGGAAAGTGTTTACCCAGCATTCCATGTGCCAAGCGATTTCCTCTTAAATAAGTGCATCATCCCATCCAGGTGATGGTATCTCCGGCTTTCGATAATACCACACTGGCTCAGGGGGCAGGACTTTGTCTCAAATGGCACCTTAGTCCCTATGTAGTGCATAGGGCTCGGTCAAAAGCAGTACACTATATAGGCAGCAGGGTGCCATCCCCTGGTCAAAAGTAGTGCACTAAAAAGGAATAGGGAAAGTAGTCAGCCACAACCCAGGATGGTTAAAGCCAGGGGGAGGGGGCTTAGGAGCACACTTCACTGAAAGGAGAGAGGGAGGGACCATGCAGGAACACAGCACTAGAGGCAGCATAGAGTGAATGATCAAACCTTAATAGGCAGGGAGCTGATGAAGGAATATGGTTTGGGAGAGACAGGAGGGCCACGGGGGTGTGCTGCACTCGTTCAGAGTGCTTGCATCATCAATATTGTGGCAGGAGCTGGGTGTAGGAGGCAGGCGGTACCTGTGGATGACTGATGAGCGCTGGGCTGGTTATGAGAGGACTCACTCTGCTGAGACCTCTAGCTCCATCCTCAGAAACTGATCGGGCATAGTGCAGTTTGGGCAAATGCTGGATGGGCTGCGCCATCTTTAACCCAGTGGGCCTGTCTAAATGTGTGTTTTTGTGCAGAATGATCATCATTTAGCTAATAACGGGGGGCCCAGGCTGTTTGCTGGTCCTAGTCCTTCCCTGTCCATCCTCACTGGAGTAACAGACAACACCAGAACACCAGGCCCATTATAATCACTGCCAGTACCGTGAGTGTCTGTCCTAGCAGTCTGGACTCAGTGTGAATTACATTCTGTACTACTGATGTCTAGGCCTATTCTGCTCCCCCGTAGCCATGTGTGTAGTAATGTAATACATGTCCATATCAGAACTACTATAGTTTGACCTCTCGGTCACTCAAGGCGTCAGGAAATAGGAACCAGTCACTTCACATTCCGGTAACACAGAGATGTGTCTTCAACCGGCTGAGTCAGACGGATTACTCACAAACACACAGTCGCATGCACATGCACAAGGACAAGCACGCGCGCCAATGTGTAATAGTGGATGGAGTTTACGACATGCTATTTTGGGTGTTTCAGTGCTGTAACACAGATCAATATGTTGATACAGAACTCAATAGCACATTCACCTCCTGTACAGGAAGAACTACAAAGACCTGTCAATGATGAAGCCATTCAGATGCTTTACATCCAGCTTTCTAAACAGAGTATTGATCAATCAATCAATCAAATTGTATTTATAAAGCCCTTTTTACATCAGCAGATGTCACAAAGTGCTATACAGAAACCCAGCCTAAAACCCCAAACAGCAAGCAATGCAGATGTAGAAGCACGGTGGCCAGGAAAAACTCCCTAGAAAGGCAGAAACCTAGGAAGAAACCCAGAGAGGAACCAGGCTCTGAGGGGCTGGACTAGTGGCAGTGCTACCATCCCTATGGCGTCAAATCAGCCTCTAAAGTCCATTGCGCGCGAGATGGCACTGTCGAGCAAGATGAAACATCATTGAGCAAGCAAACAGTGAGCGCAGAGGATGAGTGCTGGGAGCGCACAGACCAGTCAAGAGCGCAGAATGTGGTCGAGCAAGCAGAGGATGGGTCCCGCGAGTGCACAGGCTGCGGGGGTGCGTCAATTAAACTTGAGTTGTAAGTGTGACTTTGAGTGAGCAGAAAATCATTGCTGTAGACAGTTACCAGAATCTTTGGATTAACCAAAAGCACTGTAGCTCGCTGGCTAAATTAATGGGGTATTTAGAGATGGAGGACTTGGAAGACCAGCATGACTGGGAGGGTGTGGTAGAGGAGGGAGAGGCAGGGTGAGAACAGTTTAGTGGTTAAGAGCATTATGCCAGTAACCGAAAGGTCGCTGGTTCTAATCCCTGAGTCGACTAGGTGAAAAATCTGTTGATGTGCCCTTGAGCAAGGCACTTAACCCTAATTGCTCCTGTAAGTCGCGCTGGATAAGAGAGTCTGCTAAAAAAATGAAATAAAAAGAACAGACAGGGAAGGCTCTCACTGAGGAAGATGCCCTTGATTGAGATGGGGTGAGGGGGAGCCAAGAGAGATCAAATTCCGAACAAAATAGTCAATATTGTAAACCGCTAATGGCATACTTTGAGATACAGTCTATTTGATTACTTTTACTCTGGCAGTTTATGTGCAGTTACAATAAAAGAGAATGACCTCTAACCATCTTCTTTTTTTTATTTTTTTATTTAACCTTTATTTAACCAGGTAAGCCAGTTGAGAACAGGTTCTCATTTACAACTGCGACCTGGCCAAGATAAAGCAAAGTAGTGCAATAAAAACAACACAGAGTTACATATGGGGTAAAAAAACATAAAGTCAGAAATACAACAGAAAATATATATACAGTGTGTGCAAATGTAGCAAGTTATGGAGGTAAGGCAATAAATAGGCTATAGTGCAGAATAATTACAATAGTATTAACACTGGAATGCTAGATGTGCAAGAGATTATGTGCAAATAGAGATACTGGGGTGCAAAAGAGCAAAATAAATAACAATATAGGGATGAGGTAGTTGGGTGGGCTAATTTCAGATGGGCTGTGTACAGGTGCAGTGATCGGTAAGGTGCTCTGACAACTGATGCTTAAAGTTATTGAGGGAGATAAGAGTCTCCAGCTTCAGAGATTTTTGCAATTCGTTCCAGTCATTGGCAGCAGAGAACTGGAAGGAATGGCGGCCAAAGGAGGTGTTGGCTTTGGGAATGACCAGTGAGATATACCTGCTGGAGCGCAGACTACGGGTGGGTGCTGCTATGGTGACCAATGAGCTAAGATAAGGCGGGGATTTGCCTAGCAGTGATTTATAGATGGCCTGGAGCCAGTGGGTTTGACGACGGACATGTAGTGAGGACCAGCCAACAAGAGCGTACAGGTCACAGTGGTGGGTAGTGTATGGGGCTTTGGAGACAAAACGGATGGCACTGTGATAGACTACATCCAATTTGCTGAGTAGAGTGTTGGAGGCTATTTTGTAAATGACATCGCCGAAGTCAAGGATCGGTAGGATAGTCAGTTTTACGAGGGCATGTTTGGCAGCATGAGTGAAGGAGGCTTTGTTGCGAAATAGGAAGCCGATTCTAGATTTAACTTTGGATTGGAGATTCTTTATGTGAGTCTGGAAGTTGAGTTTATAGTCTAACCAGACACCTAGATATTTGTAGTTGTCCACATACTCTAGGTCAGACCCGTCGAGAGTGGTGATTCTAGTCGGGTGGGCGGGTGCTAGCAGCGTTCGATTGAAAAGCATGCATTTAGTTTTACTAGTGTTTAAGAGCAGTTGAAGGCTACTGAAGGATTGTTGTATGGCATTGAAGCTCGTTTGGAGGTTTGTTAACACAGTGTCCAATGAAGGGCCAGATGTATACAAAATGGTGTCGTCTGCGTAGAGGTGGATCTGAGAGTCACCAGCAGCAAGAGCGACATCATTGATATACACAGAGAAAAGTGTCGGCCCAAGAATTGAACCCTGTGGCACCCCCATAGAGACTGCCATAGGTCCAGACAACAGGCCCTCCGATTTGACACACTGAACTCTATCTGAGAAGTAGTTGGTGAACCAGGCGAGGCAGTCATTTGAGAAACCAAGGCTATTTAGTCTGCCAATAAGAATGCGGTGGTTGACAGAGTCGAAAGCCTTGGCCAGGTCGATGAAGACGGCTGCACAGTACTGTCTATTATCAATCGCGGTTATAATATCGTTTAGGACCTTGAGCGTGGCTGAAGTGCACCCGTGACCAGCTCGGAAACCGGATTGCATAGCGGAGAAGGTACGGTGGTATTCGAAATGGTCGATGATCTGTTTGTTAACTTGGCTTTCGAATACTTTCGAAAGGCAGGGCAGGATGGATATAGGTCTGTAGCAGTTTGGATCTAGAGTGTCACCCCCTTTGAAGAGGGGGATGACCGCGGCAGCTTTCCAATCTCTGGGGATCTCAGACGTTATGAAAGAGAGGTTGAACAGACTAGTAATAGGGGTTGCGACAATTTCGGCGGCTAGTTTTAGAAAGAAAGGGTCCAGATTGTCTAGCCCAGCTGATTTGTAGGGGTCCAGATTTTGCAGCGCTTTCAAAACATCAGCTGTCTGAATTTGTGTGAAGGAGAAGCGGGGGGGGGGGGCATGGGCAAGTTGCAGCAGAGGGTGCAGAGTTGGTGGCCGGGTTAGTGGTAGCCAGATGGAAAGCATGGCCAGCTGTAGCAAAATGCTTGTTGAAATTCTCGATTATTGTAGATTTATCGGTGGTGATAGTGTGCAGTGGGCAGCTGGGAGGAAGTGCTCTTATTCTCCATGGACTTTACAGCGTCCCAAAACTTTTTGGAGTTAGTGCTACAGGAAGCAAATTTCTGTTTGAAAAAGTTAGCCTTTGCTTTCCTGACTGCTTGTGTATATTGGTTCCTAACTTCCCTGAAAAGTTGCATATCGCGGGGGCTATTTGATGCTAATGCTGTATGCCACAGGATGTTTTTGTGCTGGTCAAGGGCAGTCAAGTCTGAGGAGAACCAGGGGCTATATCGGTTCTTAGTTCTGTATTTTTTGAATGGGGCATGTTTATTTAAGATTGAGAGGAAATTACTTTTAAGGAACAACCAGGCATCCTCTACTGACGGAATGAGATCTATATCCATCCAGGATACCTGGGCCAGGTCAATTAGGAAGGCCTCCTCGCAAAAGTGTTTTAGGGAGCGTTTGACAGTGATGAGGGGTGGTCGTTTGACCGCGGACCCGTTACGGACGCAGGCAATAAGGCAGTGATCGCTGAGATCCTGGTTGAAGACAGCTGAGGTGTATTTAGAGGGTGTGTTAGTCAGGATGATATCTATGAGGGTACCCATGTTTACGGATTTAGGGTTGTACCTGGTAGGTTCGTTGATAATTTGCGTGAGGTTGAGGGCATCTAGCTTGGATTGTAGGATGGCTGGGGTATTAAGCATATCCCAATTTAGGTCACCAAGCAGTACAAACTCTGAGGATAAATGGGGGGCAATCAATTCACATATGGTGTCCAGGGCACAGCTGGGGGCTGAGGGGGGTCTGTAGCAAGCGGCAACAGTGAGAGACTTATTTCTGGAAAGGTGGATTTTTAGAAGTAGAAGCTCAAACTGTTTGGGCACAGACCTGGATAGTATGATAGAGCTCTGCAGGCTATCTCTACAGTAGATTGCAACTCCACCCCCTTTGGCAGTTCTATCTAGACGGAAAATGTTATAGTTGGGGATGGAAATTTCAGAATTTTTGGTGGCCTTCCTGAGCCAGGATTCAGACACTGCTAGAACATCAGGGTTGGCAGAGTGTGCTAACGCAGTGAATAACTCAAACTTAGGAAGTAGACTTCTGATATTTATGTGCAAGAAACCAAGACTTTTGCGATTACAGAAGTCATCAAATGATAGCGCCTGGGGAGTAGGAGTGATACTGAGGGCTGCAGGGCCTGGGTTAGCCTCTACATCACCAGAGGAACAGAGGAGGACTAGAATAAGGATACGGCTAAAGGCTTTAAGAACTGGTCTTCTAGTGCGTTGGGTACATAGAATAAAGGGGGCAGATTTCCGGGTGTTATAGAAAAGATTCAGGGCATTATGTACAGACAAGGATATGGAAGGATATGAGTAAAGTGGAGGTAAACCTAAGCGTTGGGTAACAATGAAAGAGATAGTATCTCTAGAGGCATCAATTGAGTCGGTCTCTGAGTGTATGGGGGGAGGGACAAAATAGCTATCTAAGGCAGGTTTAGCTAGGCTGGGGGGTCTACAGTGATATAGTACAATTAGAAATAACCGAAACAACAATAAACTAACCATGTTTGGGCTGAGGCTAAACATAAACAGGATGTAGTACCGTAAAAAGGAACAGTCCAGCAGATATCAGCTGTATAGCTGAGTTATCATAAGGTCCGGTGGTGAAGCGCTAGTGAGTAAGAGGGTTAGCAGGGGCTAGTAAGGGCTAGCAGATGGATGGAATCTTCGTGGTTAACGTCGTAACCACATCAGACGATTTCGTCGGCAGACCAGTCGTGTAGGATCGGCGGGGCTTCGTGTCAACACTAGGTGGTCCCGTCCGGTTGACAGAGAGGTAGATAGCCGGGAGATGGGCCTAGCTCAGGATGATTAGCCAGACCACAGCGTCCGTTTTGTTGTAGCCAGCTGGTAGCGATGAATCCGGAGTTAAAGGTCCAGTGATTCAGTGATTCCGGCGGAAAAACTGATATGTTCTGGGTCGATAACGCGCTGTGCAGACTGGCCGAATATCCGGTGATCAATGTCCAGTGATTAAAATTAATCCCGCGGAAAAAAAATCCAATGTTCTGAGTGAAACACCGCTAGCTGTGGCTAATAGCAAGTAGCTAGTTAGCTGAAACTGGCTAGCTAGTTTCAACTGGAGATTCTAGATTCTAGACAAAGGTAAGTCAACAATAGAATCCGTTCCACATTGAGTGAGGCGGGTTGCAGGAAAGTATATTTTCTAGAAGGATGAAAAGTCTGATAGGGAAACATGTACGAAAAATACAAAAAAAACAGGGTATTTACAGGCTATTTACAGACACACGACAGAAACAGGACTGCACTACTTCGCCATCTCCATACAAGCCCACTTTCACTATGTGATGGGGAGGTTGTTCTCTGCTTAGTTAATAGAGATAAGAGATACAGGAGTCAACTCTGTTCCAAGTACCTTGGCTCTCCTCAATGTACAGCACTCTGGGGACTTCCTGCAGGTATCAATCACCCCCCATAACTAAATAAGTAGTGGTACTGAGAGTGGTACTGACGCTGTATGGACATTTGTCACGTAGATAGGATGATGTTATTGACGTTGACCAACTGCTTCCTATTTGGTTAGAAAGATGGTTCTATACAGAGGATGGTTCTATACTGAATGTGTACAAGTAGGTTAGGTAAGGGATGAAGTGAAAACCAATAGGAGGATAGCTCCCCACGACGAGGGTTGGGCATGAAATTACAGCAGGCTGTTCAATACTGAGCCATACTGACTGACGAGTGGCGTGGATTAGTACAGCTTGGATCAGTCCCACATAGTATATTATCACTTATTTGGCTAAATGATTATCCATAGTTGCCTCTTAATAAAGCTGCAGTCCTAAAATGGACTGTTACCTTGAATGCAATATTAAGATGTTAAAACTTTTCAACTCCAATTGAACTCTGTCTATTTTTACTCTCTATCTCACTGCAGTAGTTCTCAGGAGACGGGTCAGTGTGTGTGTAGAGAACATTTGTCTGACAAGGTGGGGTCAGCTTTCTACTTCATCGCCCTGGACCACTACACCTACGAGGCAGAGGACGCCAGGTTTGGACCTGTGAGTCACCTTTGACCTTGACGTAACTTTCTTCTAAGGCTTTTGGGATCATGGGTGTTCCCTAGCTCATCTTGTGCCTTACACAACTCAGCACATATGTATCCGACCACTTTCCTCAGTGGAGTCCTGACCAGGGGTATCAAACTCCAATGTCTATGTACCTGTTGTGTTGGCTTAGTTACCGGACCAGTGGGAGGAGCTGTTGATAACAGTGATGCATCCCAGTGTGATCTCAACAAACAGCCGCTGTGGCAACACCATGCCTGATGACGACAACCAGATGATATTCCTTCACCCTGGATCACGGTAAACACACACCTAGTCTCTCTCTCTGTGTATGTTTGTTGCGTGTGAGAGAGTGAGTCATGGGTCTGTATATGCAAGTGTTTGTAGTGTAGGATATACGTTTTGTGTATATGAGTCTACTGTGAGTCTGTATACACCCTGTATTACATGCCTGTGTTTTGTTTGCACACACTTTTCCTGTATGTGAATTAGTGCAGTGTTTTGTGACATCCATCTCTCTCTCGCATTCTCAGATATTTGGTGCTCCCCAGACCAGTGTTTCAAGGCAGGGATGGACTACACTGTTTGTCTGAGCTTGCCCCTCTACTCTGCACTCAGTGATGTCCAGTCCCCATACACACTCATCGACTCGGTTAGTTCCTACACACACTCTTAAACACCTAGACACAACTGAGACTTTTGCGTACATCATGCATTGATGTCACTAATTTAAAGTTGGGATATAGCTTTTCAACTGTACTAAATCGAATTCCATCTTCTGTATCTTTCTGTCCTCTCTATAGATTGTGCCGATGCCGCACCGTAAGAACCTGGAGATTTTCACTGGTTCTGAGGGAGTTGACGTAGCCACCAACGGTGACTGGGACACGTTCCAGCATCACTGTTGTCTTGAGAACAACCAGAGTGTGGTCAAGACACCCTCCACAGACATCAGCTGCAATTTCATCTCTAGCGCGTCAGCTCTGCTGCATCAGGGAGCAAAAGGTATGGCACCGCGCTCCCAACAGTCATGTGTGACTGCTTAAACATCCTTAAACATACTTGTATGCTCATTTATGTGTTTCTTAACTAAAGGTCTATGGAAGGTTTCTTATGGCTCAATAATACTGACGAACGCCGTGGATTGTACATCTCTGCTCAGTCCCACATAGTGATGTCTGCCATTCCATATTGAGACAAACATGCAACAGCTCTGTGCAATTTTATCTTTCCTCGATTCCTTGCATCCTTTTTCCGTGCCTTCTAAAACCCCATCGGAGGAGAGGACCGAAGGTTCCTCCCCTCAGACCTCCAATAGGTTTTGAGAAGGATGCGAGTAGTGGAAGTGAGGATTTGAGCAGAGATGAATTGGGACAGAGCTCATGCCATTGTTTTAGGTGGAATCTAATGTTTAATGATACATTTGTTATCTGTTTGCACATAAATTATATCTTTGTTCTACATGTGCTCTTTCCACAGATGACTCTGGCTTGCTGATAACATCTGATCTGATGAGACTCCCTATGTGATTTGACTCCTGTATTACTGCCTGTTCTCAATAAAACTTCCAATGCCAAATTTAAATAATCTGACACTGTAATTTGATAGACAATGGTAGTTCCCAATCAGACAATTACTATAAAACAAATCTGTTTTCCTCAGTTAAATGTTTGGTGAATGCATGCCGTTGCTTTGTCCTTAGTGCTCCTTTAAATGCTGTGTGTACTATAATGACATGTTAACCTGAGTTTAGCTGGTTAATCATATTAATTTCAGTTTACATTCTGTTATTTGGCACTGGTTATGTACTGTATTAATGTAGCACGTCCTCCCCTCCGTGTCTCCATATAAATCAAAATCCCCATACGCTGTGTGTGTGTGCCCTTGGGATTAATACAGTGCATTTGGAAAGTATTCAGACCTTTTGACTTTTTCCACATTTTGTTACGTTACAGCCTTATTCTAAAAAGGATTAAATAAATGTTTTTCCTTATCAATCTACATACAATATCCAATAATGACAAAGCGAAAACAGGTTTTTAGACATTTTTGCAAATGTATTAAAAATAAACAACAGAAATACCTTATTTACATAAGAATTTCAACCCTTTGCTATGAGAATCAAAATTGAGCTCAGGTGCATCCTGTTACCATTGAACCTGTGGTAAATTCAATTAATTGGACATGATTTGGAAAGGCACACACCTGTCTATATCAGTTCCCACAGTTGACAGTGCATATCAGAGCAAGAACCAAGCCATGAGGTTAAGGAATTGTCCGTACGGCTCCGAGACAGGATTGTGTCGAGGCACAGATCTGGGGAAGGGTACCAAAACATTTCTGCGGCATTGAAGGGAGGTGACCAAGAACCCGATGGTCACTCTGACAGAGCTCCAGAGTTACTCTGTGAAGATGAGAGAACCTTCCAGAAGGACAACCATCTCTGCCGCACTCCACCAATCAGGCCTTTATGGTAGAGTGACCAGACAGAAGCCACTCCTCAGTAAAAGGCACATGACAGCCCGCTTGGAGTTTGCCAAAAGGCACCTAAAGACTCTCAGACCATGAGAAACAAGATTATCTGGTCTGATGAAACCAAGATTGAACTCTTTGGCCTGAATGCCAAGCGTCACGTCTGGAGGTAACCTGGCACCATCCCTACGGTGAAGCATGGTGGTGGCAGCATCATGCTGTGGGGATGTTTGGGAGATTATTCAGGATCGAAGCAAAGATGAACGGAGCAAAGTACAGAGAGATCCTTGATGAAAACCTGCTCCAGAGTGCTCAGGACTTCAGACTGGGGTGAAGGGTCACCTTCCAACAGGACAACGACCCTAAGCACACAGCCAAGACAGCCAAAGCTTCGGGACAAGTCTCTGAATGTCCATGAGTGGCCCAGCCAGAGCCCAGACTTGAACCCAATCGAACATCTCTGGAGAGACCTGAAAATAGCTGTACAGCAACGCTCCCCCCAACCTGACAGACCTTGAGAGGATCTGCAGAGAAGAATGGGAGAAACTCCCCAAATACAGGTGTGCCAAGCTTGTAGCGTCATACCCAAGAAGACTCGATGCAGTAATCGCTGCCAAAGGTGCTTCAACAAAGTACTGAGTAAAGGGCCTGAATACTTATGTAAATGGCATATTTCAGTTTTCATTTATTTATAAATTAGCACAAATGTCTAAAAACCTGTTTTTTTCTTTGTCATTATGTGGTATTGTGTGTAGATTGACGAGGGGAAAAAACAATTTAATCAATTTTAGAATAAGGCTGTAACGTAACAAAATGTGGGAAAAGTCAAGGGGTCTGAATACTTTCCGAATGCACTGTAAATACTTTTTGGGCGACCCGACAAATTCACATAGAAATGTATGTTATAGATATGTTATTCTTTAAAGTGAACTCTAGGGTAAAAAAAGTGAAAGAACTCAGTTCTCTTTGTATTCACACTGTCCTTGCCTTTGAATGAGGACTCAGACCTCTTGCTGGTTTATTTCACCTCTATTGAGGTCTCAGTCCTCTTTGCATTCACATTGTCATGATTCCATGAGACCATTTACAGATGTGCAATTTGGGTGAGAGATGTGCATTTTGGGTATTTGCACATGGAAAAAGATGGCAGCCCCTGCTGGATTTGCTGTCCTTTCAGCATTGCTTTTTCTACTAATTAAAAGCAGAGACAGGGAGAAGCAATATCTGATTTCTCACCTTCACACTAAACACAAAATTATCCTGCACCGACTGAGGAAGAAACAAACATGAAGGAGAAGGTTTTTGATGAACCAGAACCAAAAACTGTCCAGAGTACAGGTGATGCTGCTAGCAACACTGGCAGTCCAATGCTTTCCAGAAAGGTAGGTTAGCCAAGTAAAGCGGCTCTCCTGAGTAGAGCTTGATTATTTGTATTTAATTATTTTTAACATATGTTATTAAATGTAATTACTTAATTACATATTACAATATTATGAAATTAAAGTATTACATATTATAACGTAATTGCAATTATTGAATTATACATAATTTCCTTCATGGAATAAAACAAATGAATGGTATTATTGTATATATGAGATACTATATTTAGCATTCATAACAGCATTCATGACATTACTTTGCTTACATAGAAAATATATTGAATATATTGAATATTGCTCATTTCAGATCATGCTGGACTAAAGAACGAACCAGCATTTGGTGGGAGAGAACATGCACCTGGAATGACAGACTGGCTGCGACATGTTAAAATAAGCAGGGACACATTTCTGTACATCTGAAACCAACTGCGACATCACCTTGAAAGAAAGCGAACACGTTACAGCTCGAATGTTCCATTAGTGGGAAAACACCATTATCAAAAGTGACCGTAAATGTGATTACACATTACATTTTACATTTTAGTCATTTAGCAGACGCTCTTATCCAGAGCGACTTACAGTTAAGCGAGTGCATACATTATTTTTTATTTTTTCATACTGGCCCCCCGTGGGAATCGAACCCACAACCCTGGCGTTACAAACGCCATGTTCTACCAACTGAGCTACATCCCTGCCGGCCATTCCCTCCCCTACCCTGAACGACGCTGGGCCAATTGTGCGCCGCCCCATGGGTCTCCCGGTCGCGGCCGGCTACGACAGAGCCTGGATTCGAACCAGGATCTCTAGTGGCACAGCGACACATGTAACACAGCGACACATGTAATGCTTTTATTATAAAAATTAATTTTTGTGGTGAAAATGATCTTCCCCAAACTTGAAACTCACGCGCTGTGTATGTACAGTTGAAGTCGGAAGATTACATACACCTTAGCCACATACATTTAGACTCAGTTTTTCACAATTGCTGACTAATCCTAGTAAAAATTCCCTATCTTAGGTCAGTTAGGATCTCCACTTTATTTTAAGAATGTGAAATGTCAGAATAATAGTAGAGAGAATGATTTATTTCAGCTTTTATTTCTTTCATCACATTCCCAGTGGGTCAGAAGTTTACATACACTCAATTAGTATTTGGTAGCATTGCCTTTAAATTGGTTAACTTGGGTCAAACATTTCGGGTAGCCTTCAACAAGCTTCCCACAATAAGTTGGGTGAATTTTGGCCCATTCCTCCTGACAGAGCTGGTGTAACTGAGTCAGGTTTGTAGGACTCCTTGCTCGCACACGCTTTTTCAGTTCTGCCCACACATTTTCTATAGGATTGAGGTCAGGGCTTTGTGATGGCCACTCCAATACCTTGACTTTGCAGTCCCTCCTGCAGCAAAGCACCCCCACAGCATGATGCTGCCACCCCCGTGCTTCACGGTTGAGATGGTGTTCTTCGGCTTGCAAGCCCCCCCTTTTTCCTCCAAACATACCAATGGTCATTATGGCCAAACAGTTCTATTTTTGTTTTATCAGACCAGAGGACATTTCTCCAAAAAGTACAATCTTTGTCCCCATGTGCAGTTGCAAACCGTAGTCTGGCTTTTTTATGGCGGTTTTGGAGCAGTGGCTTCTTCCTTGCTGAGCGGACTTTCAGGTTATGTTGATATAGGAATCGTTTTACTGTGGATATAGATACTTTTGTACCTGTTTCCTCCAGCATCTTCACAAGGTCCTTTGCTGTTGTTCTGGGATTGATTTGTACTTTTCGCACCAAAGTATGTTAATCTCTAGGAGACAAAATGCACCTCCTTACTGAGCGGTATGACGGCTGCGTGGTCCCATAGTGTTTATACTTGCGTACTATTGTTTGAACAGATGGAACGTGGTACCTTCAGGCTTTTGGAAATTGCTCCCAAGGATGAACCAGACTTGTGGAGGTCTACTATTGTTTTTCTGAGGTCTTGGCTGATTTCTTTTGATTTTCCCATGATGTCAAGCAAAGAGGCACTGAGTTTGAAGGTAGGCCTTGAAATACATCCCCAGGTACACCTCCAATTGACTCAAATGATGTCAATTAGCCTATCAGAAGCTTCTAAAGCCATGACATCATTTTCTGGAATTTTCCAAGCTGTTTAAAGGCACAGTCAACTTAGTGTATGTAAACTTCTGACTCACTGAAATTGTGATACAGTGAATTATAAGTGAAATAATCTGTCTGTAAACAATTGTTGGAAAAATTACTTGTGTCATGCACAAAGTAGATGTCCTAACCGACTTGCCAAAACTATAGTTTGTTAACAAGACATTTGTGGAGTCGTTGAAAAACGAGTTTTAATGACTCCAACCTAAGTGTATGTAAACTTCCGACTTCAACTGTATGCCAGTTAGGCTCTACACCCCTTGTAAAGCGGATTAATGTGCTTAATTTTAAGATGTTATTTGGCCACTTTAGTTGTGATACAAACCTTATCAAAACATATAGGCCTATGGGTTAAGCCTATATGAGGTGTTTAACTATGATTCGAAAATGTCGCCATAAAAAAGTATTTGTTTTTTGCCTTATGCTGGGCATCATTCACAAGTGATAATATATAATTCACAAGTGATAGGTTAATATTGTCACCCATTAAACTATTCTTGATTTAATATTGTCTTAATCTTGCCATCTATGCACTTAAATAGCGAATGGAGGACACTTTTCCCGTGGTTCATTTTCATGCCAGCCAGGTAGGCTATACTCCTGTTATAAAGAGAAGAAATGTTCTTAATATTAGGAAAGTAGAGAAATAAATATAGTAGGTCTAGCCTATAGAAAGCTGCTGGGATCCTCCTCTTTTTAACAGAGGCCATCACACTGTTTTCTCACGCAATTGCATAGCCTACAGAAATGTTGCGCAACATGAGCTCATTGAATTGAATTGAATTTATTTTGGGTAACAGACATGTACAATGTGGACCCAGAGGATATCACTTGAAAGTATTAATAAAAATGGTTGTTTCCAACGTGCTCCTTGATGGTAAAAACAATAACACATATAATGATTAAAAGGCAAGACAAAATGACCAACAACCATAAATACATTCAATTATATTGACATCCTAAAAAATTGCACTATTCACTGCACTTTTCCCTAACCATAAAAATCTACCATATTAATTCCACATTAAAACAATCTATTTATTGCACATCATACCTATCATTCAAATAAATACACCTGACCAGCAGTAGGGGGCACAAGGGGCAGTGGAGTGGTTCTCTTGCTTAGACAACCTTATCCAAATGAAAACCTTTGCCTGCTTTTTAAAGCTATTTATACTTTTTCTTTGCTTGATCTCCAAGGGGAGGCTATTCCATAGACAAATGCCTATCAATGTGGTTTTTCATATAACCTGGGGCACGATCATTTAAGATGTCAAACATATGATTAAGTTTAAGTTGGTCCACTCTGTACTCCAAAGGCAACAAGCCCACCTCCCGTAACTCCTGTACCCCTATGTGGGTCCTAGGGAGGACATTCAGCATATACCTGATAACATTATGCTGCATGACCTGCATTCTCTTTTTCAGCTTTTTTGATAGTCCACTATACCAAGCAGAGCAGGCATAATCAAAATGACACTGAATCAAGGTTGAGACAAGCAGTTTCTTAACTTTTATGTTAAAATATCTAGTGTTACGATATAAATATTTCAATTTGTTCGCCATTTTAAAAATAATTTTAGCAGCAATCAGGTCTCCAGTAAGGGTTTGATCTAGGGACACACCAAGATAAGTTACACTTGTTTTAGATTCAATCTCCTTGCCTGCACAGTTTACCTTTATCTTGTCAGCCTAAGGAATCTGTTTTGTTCCGAACAAAATGTATTCTGTTTTTCTCAAATGTAGCGACAATTTGTTGTCAGTCAACCAATCTCTAACAAAATGCAATTCCTTACTCAGGGTCTCCTCTATGTAAACTGTTTGCACTTTACTGTATCTGGCATATCATTAACATATATAAGATATAAGAGAGGCCCTCAAATTGATCCCTGCGATACTCCACAGGATATTTCTTTGGCCTCTGACAGAACATCACCAACATTACATACTTGTGTTCTGTTGGTCAGATAAGACCTAAACCAATTCACTGCTACATCATTTAGACCCATGTATTTCAGTTCCATCAGGAGAAGGTATCCCTCAAGCTGATTAAAAACTAATCTCTCAACAACTTTGGATAAGGTGCTGAGGATCGACACAGGCCTGTAGTTTCCCACATTTGTTTTACTGCTCTTCTTGTGGAGCAGAACTACCTGGGCTGTTTTGAGATCATTGGGAAATGCACTACTACTAATAGAAAGGTTTACAGTATGCATTATCATTTTAGCAGTGACACAAGCACTATCCTTTATGAATCTTGCAGGAAGGTTATCCAGCCCAGTTGCTTTGTTTGTGCTCATTAAGCATAGTAGATTGGAAACGTTGTCCTCTGTTAACCCTGCACAGCTCAAACAAATAATTTGTGATACCTTTGCTATGGTAAAAGTTCGTAATGAAAGACTGGCCATAGCGTCCAGAGCAGGTCGGTAACTTCTTAACCAGAGATGAGGCTATAGTGGTAAAATATGCGTTAAAATAATTTGCAACCTTTGCTTGGTCATAGCATAAAACATAATCAGTAAAAAGGCCAATACTTCATGATTTTACCTTATGGGGAGTTTTTGAGCCAATGTCCTTTAACATTTTACACAGTTTATGAGGCTGATGTAAGTTGTCATTAACAGCGTCTATGTAATGTTGGGATTTGGTCTTATCCATTTTGTATCTTGCCTGGTTTCTACAGTTAATATAACCATCAGAATCTAGACTTGTCCTTCTGAATTTGGCCAGGTAGCGATCCCTTTTCCTTATGAGGTCTAAGATCTCGGAAGTGATCCATTTCCGTGACCGCTGTTTGATTCAAATTTGTTTCATCAGAGCCAGAGAGTCGAGTGCAGACATAAACAGATCTTTAAAAATATACTAAGCTTGATCAACATCATCACAGTTTAGTACATGAGACCAATCCAAAATTCCAAGTACTACAAAACGTTCCTTTGAGTATTGTTTCATAGACCGTACATTCATGTAGTTATTACCTGGCTCAAGTAGCATTTTGGATTTCTTACGGGTACAGTAGGTTACCATATGATCACTAAAACCAATATTTAAGACTCCTGACTGACAGACGTTCTCTTGGTCTGATACAATAATCAAATCCAAAGTTGATTTAATGTCAATACACACCAGGGCTCTCATGGGCTGTCATGAAGTGTTTGATTAGATTTTCGATTACATTTGCATTTATGTCAGAGTGATTAGCGGGACAATAGAGTGCTGAGTACCGGGCTACTAGCAGGCTACTAATGACCATCAGCAGCATCAGAGCTTGGAGAAGCCTAATTACCGTGACTAAACGGTCACGTGGAATTTGACTGCGGTCATGACTCGTGACCACCGGTGTGGGGGTAATACGGTCACTGTAATAGCCCTAGTCATGGCACAGTGTTCATATTTTATTAACCCTAATTACACTAACAAATTGATTCTTTTCAGTTCATGTCCAATTAAATAAGTTCACATTTTCACATTATAGTTGTTTTGATGCACTGAATACTTGAGTTGATTCACTGTAGACATAACCTTGGGTATGCTGACAGAACATGACAATAACTTTTATTTCCAATGCTCACCATGTATTAGCATGAAACTGATTTATATGTCAAATAAAATCAGTTCAAGTCATCATAGAGTTTGTTGAAAAGTTATTTATTCAAACACTTCAAAATTAACAAACTGTGTCTCTCAAGACATCAGGATTTCTTACAACTAAAAACTCATAGTCTGCACTACCATTTAACTCGAGCAGGACTCAGTTCCACTACTCTTTCTACCTATCTGTCACTTCAACATCACAAAAAACACAAACCAGTTCGCTGATCACAGTAAAACGAATTACAATTGTGTCAGCAATAGAATGACAGAAACATTGAAATGCTATGTTGACAAACTTCAACATGAAGATTTGAATATTAAGAACTCAAAAGTAATGGCACTAACATACCATTTAAAACTTGGACTGGTGGCATAAGTTTCCTGACTATGATCTGTAGGCTGGTGCATGGGGGTAGGCTGGTGCATGGGGGTAAGACAGTGAAAAGTTAGGTCTTCGTTTGAGAGCTTTGAGGAGGAACAATGTAATTTGGGTAATATGATGAAGGGGGAGCAGGAGCACTGCTTGAAGAAACAACAGTGCTCATCACTTGAGTGAGCATCCTCATCATGGCTTGGACATGTTTGTCCTGGGCTTGTTGCCGCTTTCATTCGGTACCTCTCTCCAGTTCCATTTCCTGCTGGTGCCTGGCATCTTCTTTGTGCAAGAATTCGTCATGATCTTTCCTCTGTTTCGAAGACCGTTGTGAGTTGTTGAAGATTGTTTTATTGCCCTTTTTTCCTGCCGTCTTCGTCACTGGAGTCTTTCGGGCTGGGGGTGGGCTTCCACTGGAGCTTTTCTTTTGTCATGATTGTTAGCTAGTATTGGATTCTATTCACAGTCACACACACACTAGATGGTGCTAGCTGCTAGTAGATCCTCTCTCTTGAGACACACACACACACACTCACACACAGGAACAGACACAGCTATCCCCCATAACCCCATTCATCCCCACCAGCTGGCCAGCTAGCTACTACTAGTAGTCCCCCTGCCCCTGCAAGTAACGTTAGCCCAAAGTTACTTTACCAGTTTCAGCCATGTCGCAGGTTCCTCCCTCGATGATGATTCCTGGGTCGGAGCAAGGACTTGCTCTGAGGATGTCGTGAAGTTTGTGGTAGAAAGTGGACTTATCTTTTACATCGCCAGATTGTCCGCTGCACCGAAGCATATCACAGGTTTTCATATATAGTTGGCACAAAAATAATGTTTCGATATTGGAGTGGGGTCCTGTCAAAGCCTTTAATTCTCACAGAAAACTGAACATAAATCTCAGAGTTCTTGTGTGTTGTTGAGAGCTGTTGCTTGATATTATCATCCCTCTGAAGGCAAACATGAAATCTGAATGAGGACAGTGGTTTCCTCAACTGACCAAACAACCCCTCTTGCAGCCATAACAACTAGCTAGCTTGCGATGATCAATTTCACAGAGGTCACTTCTTGTCAGAGCGCAGTGGCAGCAGAAATGTATGGTAGGCCCAAAGGGTCAAAAGGGGCATAATGCAGTTCTCTTGACAAGTGAACCTGGAGGCCACAGACTTCAAGCGAACCGAACTCAGACCACCTCTCGAGATGGTCTGAGTTCGGTCTCAGTTCAGTTCGCTTCGGGGGCTCTTTTGAGTGTTCACACTGGACACAAATGTAAGCGAACCACACTGAGTTCACAAAAATGTGCTTAAAGGGACCAAGTGTGAAAACACCCTAAGAAGCGGTAGATATGATCTATGTGCGCTATTTCTATGATTCCCGTTCTTATGTTTCGTTTTTGCGTCTTTTACTTTCGGTTTTGTACACCAGCTTCACACAGCTGAAAATACAATATTTTGGGTTATGGAAAATATATTTCTCAGCAGTTTAGATGGTACAGTGATTCTCTACACTGTACTTGCTTGTTTTGTCACATAAACTGAAAATTAGGCGAACTATTAGAATTTTTGCAACCAGGAAATGGCGGAGCGATTTCTGCATAGTGCATCTTTAAGTCACTCTCACAAAAATATTTTGAGGTAGGGTTGCGTTTTATCGGAAGTTACCCTACAATTGACCCGTGTTACATTTAGCCCCAATCTCCCCTATGCACTCAAGGCGAATTGCAGAGCAGTAACGTGCTTAACCATGCCAACGCTAAAAACTCTGGGTTTAAAATGGTGCAATTCACGCATTTTAGGAGTTGAAAAATAAAGTAGGAATGGAAAGCTGGGATCCACCTCTTTTTTTACAAATGCCATTAAAACTGCTTGTTGTGATCAATTGTTGTCCATTGACTGCTTGTCAGAATGCACGTTTGCCTCCCTAGTACGGCACTCACAACTTGAAAACGTCATAAGAGGAATATTTATCTTAGAACGCACAACAACAAGCCGACTAGGTAAATTGATAAACTATTCTACTATGGGGTTGTCTGGTTTTTCTAGTCAATATACGTTTTGTTTGCAGAGGAAAAGTAAATGTGGACTGTTCTAGCATCTTCAAAGTGCACCTGGCAGAAATATTTTTGGGGGGTCGTGGTGGGAATGACTTTGCTGTGGTGCAGCTCCACATCTAAATGACTGCAACGGAGACACTGTTGTGTACCCACATGTTATTCCCAACAATGGAGTCATTATATTTAGCTATATAAAATTATGGCTAGTACCTAGTGTATGATGAATTAACTTGTTAGATCACAGCCACATTATGTTCATACTCCATCTATTCTGTAATAACCTGGGGTTAACTCCCTCATATCAAGCAAACACATACCATACACTTTGTGGAAAGGTGAAGAAAAACAATTAGCTTTTCGTCTTATGGACAAATGTTGCTGGTTAACAAGCAATTAGCTAGCTAGCTTACTTTAGCAAGTAGATTCCACTCAATTCAAGGTATAGTATAGCTATTTAATTTATTTCCCAATTAAATAGCTGGGTTTCCCAAGTCGCTCGGTGCTTACTGTTCAAGCTGGCTCTGAAGCACATCTGTTTAACGTCATGCACCCAAGAAGACTCAACCAGTCACACGACACAACACTGGACTGGCCAAGGTTCATGGCTAGAAGGAATACAGCTTTTGTCAAATTAACGTCTAAAGGTGTTTTTTTTCTTAATTTTAGCTCATTCTAACCCTTTACCTAAACATAACCTAATTATCCTAACCTGCTGCGTAAGTTCTCCTAACCTGTTACGAAAAGTCATCTAGTCAACACCCTGGCCATTGGCAAGCATTTGTTAATTCGTCCATCACTCCAGTGAAAATTACCAGAAACACACAAACATGCACACACACACGCACAGGATTGATAACCTCCTGAGTGGCGCAGTGGTCTAAGGCACTGCATCGCAGTGCTAACTGTGCCACTAGAGATCCTTGTTCGAATCCAGGCTCTTTCGCAGCCGGCCGCGACCAGGAGACTCATGGGGCGGCGCACAATTGGCCCAGCGTCGTCCAGGGTAGGGGAGGGAATGGCCGGCAGGGATGTAGCTCAGTTGATAGAGCATGGCGTTTGCAACGCCAGGGTTCTGGGTTTGATTCCCACGGGGGGCCAGTATAAAAAAATATATTTAATAAATATGTATTCACTAACTATAAGTCGCTCTGGATAAGAGCGTCTGCTAAATGACTAAAATGTAATTGTGTCGAGGCACAGATCTGGGGAAGGGTACCAAAATGTTTCTGCAGCATTGAAGGTCCCCAAGAACACAGTGGCCTCCATCATTCTTAAATGGAAGAAGTTTGGAAGCAGCAAGACGCTTCCAAGAGCTGGCCACCCGGTCAAACTGAGCATTTTTTTCAGCGGCAGGGACTGGGAGACTAGTCAGGATCGTGAGAAAGATGAACGGAGTACAGTACAGAGCGATCCTTGATGATAACCTGCTCCAGAGTGCTCAGGACCTCAGACTGGGGTGAAGGTTCACCTTCCAACAGGACAACGATCCTAAGCACACAGCCAAGACAACGCAGGAGTGGCTTCGGCACAAGTCTCTGAATGTCCTTGAGTGGCCCAGCCAGAGCCCAGACTTGAACCCGATCAAACATCTCTGGAGAGACCTGAAAATAGCTGTGCAGCGACGCTACTCATCCAACATGAGAGGATCTGCAGAGAAGAATGAGAGAAAATCCCCAAATACAGATGTGCCAAGCTTATAGCATCATACCCAAGAAGACGCGAGGCTGTAATCGCTGCCAAAGGTGCTTCAACAAAGTACTGAGTGAAGGGTCTGAATACTTATGTAAATGTCATATTTACGTTTTTAATACATTTTGCAAACATTTTTTTTTTTTTTTACTGTTTTTGCTTTGATATTATGGGATATTGTGTGTAGATTGATGAGGGGGAAAAAAAACTATTTAATCAATTTTAGAATAAGGCTGTAACAAAATGTCAAGGGGTCTGAATACTTTCGGAATGAACAGTAGCTGACTAACTGAGGTTCATTCAAGTTAAGGGGTTACAAACAAAGAGGTAGCTTAATGAACTATAGTGTAAGAAATTCACTACAGAAGTTTTGCATGCACTGAAATGATGTCAGTAAAGTCTCTCGATTCAAAACTATGTACTAAACCTTGAAATGGTCCATTAAAGAAATACAGTCAGACTATAGTTAATATGATACAGAGATCTTTACAGTGAAACAGACTTGGATGAACAAACTATACCGCTAGAAAGCAGAGGCAGAGAAAAAAAATACAACGAGTTCTCAACAGCCATGGTTAAAGAAAGTGGGCCTTTGAAGGGCTTTACGTTCACTAACTAAACAGTCTTTGTAACCGGAGGACCAGGCATGTCCCATGTCCCAGGTGTTTATTTTCCTAACTTCACACTAGCCGTTAATAACTGACGCAGCTTTCCACCTTTGGCTAGTAATGTTGAGACGCAAATTCAGACAAATGCCCAAATAATCCACTACTCACAAAATTACCTCTGTTACACCAGAGCCAGAGCTGCAACACTCTCAAGCAACAAACTGACTTCCAGGAAATGTTCTAAGGCAACAAAATAGGAAGCCTAACGTCACGCCCTTTGGAATTTTGTCTAAAAACAAACCTCTCTAAGATTCCATAACTCTCCTCCATTGTTCAGAGAAGAGAGTGAGAAAGAACAAGAGAACTACTGCTGAATCTGTGCAGCATACAGATAGCCTCAGAATGTGTAGGCTAAGTATGTTTACAGTATGTGTCTGTGATGTTGTGAAGACTTTAAAGGACTCACCACGTCGGACTCCTCACTGCCAGAGAGATACATATCTGCCCTACCCGGCTCTGCTGTTGCTCTGCTCTCCTCTGCCCGGCTCAGAAGGAAAAGTCATCAACTGCTGCCCATCTCCTCCCAGTCCCAGCACAGACAGAGAAACTACTACTTACTACTCCCTGTCTCCTTTCAGTAAAACACACTGAAACTAAATAGAGGAGAGGCCTCTTGCTCTTCCTCTTTCAAACTACAGTCAAGTAAACCACAGAAAGTTGGAAGTTGAAGTTTGGAGTTGGGAGTTTCAGACCTTGTATGACCCAGTCCTGTCCTGTCTTTCTCACGCTGGGAGAACACTCCTTCAGTGCTTTGTGACCGTTCTCCAGTCCCTGAAAACAAGCTCCCCCCCACCCCACCTCCCACATACACACACACACACACTGCTAGGAAGTTAGATCTCTGGCCAACAGGGCAGGCCTGAAAATTCCAGAATGCACCGAAAGCAGCTGCAATGGCTTTTAATGTCTGTGTGTGTGTGATCCTGAGAGTTTACATGTGTTCGGCTATGCCTTGAAGAGGTTACACTTAACTTACTGTATGTAGAGGCCCAACACATGTTCCTGAAACCAAACTTCAGGAAATAATTATCTTTACTATGTTGAAAATATGCCATATGCAAAGGCTTGATCAATTTAGAATAGGCCACAAAAACGGGTTAATAGTTAATGTACTTTGAAAATGTTTTATTCATCAAGATAATGTAATGTGTGATGGTTCTCAAAGAATTGGAGGAAATATTTGTATAATATATAGCATATCTTGCTTTCTTTCATCATAGTTAAAACATAGTTCTAACAACCACCAATTGAGTACAAAATGTTCCGAACATACATGTAGCCTAAACCAGATAGAGATCCTATTGTATTTAATCATCAAATTAAAGTTTATTTGTCACGTAAACAGATTTGCAGATGTTAAAACAGGTGCAGCGAAATGCTTGTTTCTAGCTCCAGCGATGCAGTAAATGTATAATGTATAATGTATGTACAATACTACAATAATACAATACTACAATAATAATGTATAATACTAGTACACAAATACCTATGAAACATTTAGCAAGAATCAAAAGAGTGGGTGATATTGTATTCAGTAAACAATATTGTATTCAGTCAATAGCTGACAGTCAAATTAGGTGACTGGCAGTCAGTGTCCCAGCTGGAAAATCTGTGAGACTGATGATTTTCATTGGTGGCCATGAGGCCTTTCGTTTGTTTTCAGTCTTTAGTTTGGGCATGCCTTTGGTATCTTTCCTATTTATGTTTTGTCACCATCTGAACAAATAATAATCTGCTTGGACTGGACGACCAAGAGATCAAGAAGGAGCTGGCCCTGGCCCTAAGGTAAGGTAGCTGTCTCCAGGGTACATGTACATTCAAAACCTGATCGCATACGCTTACTTCTCACATTTATGCACAGATCAAATCAGGTTACAGACCATGTAGCTAGGTCTAAGACCCCTAGACATAACGAGTGCAGCAAAATCAGTAGGCTAGTTACTGGTTTCGTAACACTATAGGTAAATCAATAAAGTGTGACACCAGAAGAGCAAATCCCATGATACACCACTCCTCCTCAGCCTCCTGGCATTGCCCAGATGTTTGAGAGCCATGGAGGGAACCACGTGTTTGGTGGGTAAATCCTACTAGATTATGTGACTACGTTTGGTCTGCTTTAATCCCTTTCCAAGGATTATAATCCAGTGTGTGTGCTGGGCACGTGGCTCAGTGCTAGAGACTGTTGCCATGTCAGGACAGTGATCCATGACCACCACCTAAGCCCCTTTTGGAGCCAGGAAAAACCCTGAGGTACTCTACAGAACACACCTAGTAACCTGCTTATATATATCTGGTATAACACTTCCTGTTATTACAGATCTAAGATTTGGGTATTGTCCTCAATCTCTAGTGCACACTAACACAAAGGTCTGCTCACATCGACTGGACACTGTTCCCCAGACTTAGGCCCTATATCTAAAACATCTATCTTAAAACAGTGCCATACCTCAACATATTGCCCTAGTTATCTCATGGTCAGAGGCCCACAAGCGTAATAGTAACCTTGGGTGAGCGAGGGTGAATCTGCTGCTGGGGAGGAGAACAGGGCCATGGCTAATTAGGCTCTATCTGCCCTCAGGTGGACCAGGTGTGTGTCCCAAATGGCACCCTATTCCCTATGTAGTGCACAGAGCTCTGGTAAAAGTAGTACACTCACTATAAAGGCAATAGGGTGCCATTTGGGACGCAGTGGAGGTCTCTTCACACATAGTGTGAAGAAAGTAGATTGGAGGTGTGATCTGGGAGTTGAGTCCTCACTCTCTTAGCCAAATACCTCCTGTTGTTGGAGTGAATAACTGCTTTATTCTCATATTCATCTCATGTAACATGTGTAGCGTTGCAACATTCCAATAATTTCCCCCAAATTCCCAGGTGTTCCAGAAATCCCAGTTGGAAGATTCTTGGAAGAATTTTCCTACACTAAACATGTGAGAGTATGTAACATGTAGCCTATTAAGGATTACATACAGTGGGGAAAAAAGTATTTAGTCAGCCACCAATTGTGCAAGTTCTCCCACTTAAAAAGATGAGAGAGGCCTGTAATTTTCATCATAGGTACACGTCAACCATGACAGACAAAAGGAGAAAAAAAAAATCCAGAAAATCACATTGTAGGATTTTTTATGATTTTATTTGCAAATTATGGTGGAAAATAAGTATTTGGTCAATAACAAAAGTTTCTCAATACTTTGTTATACACCCTTTGTTGGCAATGACACAGGTCAAACGTTTTCTGTAAGTCTTCACAAGGTTTTCACACACTGTTGCTGGTATTTTGGCCCATTCCTCCATGCAGATCTCCTCTAGAGCAGTGATGTTTTGGGGCTGTCGCTGGGCAACACGGACTTTCAACTCCCTCCAAAGATTTTCTATGGGGTTGAGATCTGAAGACTGGCTAGGCCACTCCAGGACCTTGAAATGCTTCTTACGAAGCCACTCCTTCGTTGCCCGGGCGGTGTGTTTGGGATCATTGTCATGCTGAAAGACTCAGCCACGTTTCATCTTCAATGCCCTTGCTGATGGAAGGAGGTTTTCACTCAAAATCTCACGATACATGGGCCCATTCATTCTTTCCTTTACACGGATCAGTCGTCCTGGTCCCTTTGCAGAAAGACAGCCCCAAAGCATGATGTTTCCACCCCCATGCTTCACAGTAGGTATGGTGTTCTTTGGATGCAACTCAGCATTCTTTGTCCTCCAAACACGACGAGTTGAGTTTTTACCAAAAAGTTCTATTTTGGTTTCATCTGACCATATGACATTCTCCCAATCCTCTTCTGGATCATCCAAATGCACTCTAGCAATCTTCAGACGGGCCTGGACATGTACTGGCTTAAGCAGGGGGACACGTCTTGGCACTGCAGGATTTGAGTCCCTGGCGGCGTAGTGTGTTACTGATGGTAGGCTTTGTTACTTTGGTCCCAGCTCTCTGCAGGTCATTCACTAGGTCCCCCCGTGTGGTTCTGGGATTTTTGCTCACCGTTCTTGTGATCATTTTGACCCCACGGGGTGAGATCTTGCGTGGAGCCCCAGATCGAGGGAGATTATCAGTGGTCTTGTATGTCTTCCATTTCCTAATAATTGCTCCCACAGTTGATTTCTTCAAACCAAGCTGCTTACCTATTGCAGATTCAGTCTTCCCAGCCTGGTGCAGGTCTACAATTTTGTTTCTGGTGTCCTTTGACAGCTCTTTGGTCTTGGCCATAGTGGAGTTTGGAGTGTGACTGTTTGAGGTTGTGGACAGGTGTATTTTATACTGATAACAAGTTCAAACAGGTGCCATTAATACAGGTAATGAGTGGAGGACAGAGGAGCCTCTTAAAGAAGAAGTTACAGGTCTGTGAGAGCCAGAAATCTTGCTTGTTTGTAGGTGACCAAATACTTATTTTCCACCATAATTTGCAAATAAATTCATTAAAAATCCTACAATGTGATTTTCTGGAATGTTTTTTCTCTCATTTGTCTGTCATAGTTGACGTGTACCTAGGATGAAAATTACAGGCCTCTCTCATCTTTTTAAGTGGGAGAACTTGCACAATTGGTGGCTGACTAAATACTTTTTTTCCCCACTGTAGGCCCCAGTGCCTTTCATGTGATGGAGAAAGAATTCTGTTCATTCTGTACATTCTCTTTCATCATTGTAAGATGATGTCCATTGATAGCCAGTGTACTGAGGGTTTCCATAGAAAAAAATGAATAAGTGATGAGTTCTTTCTTGGGTTTTAATTAGGAGGGTTTGGGTGTGTTCCCTGTGATCGTCTAACTAGGAGCAACGGTACACTGTGTGTGTGTGAGTGCGATCGTGACATATATCAATCATGCGTGTGGGTTTAGCCAAGCTTTGAATAGATCAATTGCCCACTTGCTCTGCCAGTGTCTGGTAACGAATGCCCTAGTTACCTTTGGCTTATTGATTCACACACATATGGTTGGGGTGACGTAAACAAGCATTACATGCATACAGTGAGGTCTCTCCACAACAGCTCATGAAAGAAAAAGGCAGACACATTTATCCAGGTTGGGGGAATCAAACCCACGATCCTGGCATTTCATGCCCCATGCTCTACCAACTGAGCCACACAGCTCATGGTGAATATTTACAAAATATGAACAAACTGGCATAACGTCATCATCCCTAAAGTACATGTAAAAAAGATGGAGACTTGTCCCAGTTAGCCTACATCTGCATCAATACTGAGGCTGTGTCCCAAATGGCAGCCTATTCCCTATATAGTGCATTACTTTTGACCAGCGCATTAGGGTATAGGGATGATCTGTGTAATCATATTATTATCTAAAAAGAAAAACTGATCCTAGATCAGCACTCCTACTCTGAGACGATTTGTGAATACGGACCCTGAACATACAAAATCAAATCTTTCTTGTTTAACCATCTAAACAAGCCCAAAGAGCTCTAATTGACCAATTGCACAATGATGTAATACATCATAATGAACTATTTGTTTTCTTCCATTGTAAATCTGTAAAATCCCAGTAAATGAGAGTGGACGTTTTTATAACGTCAACAATAACAATGGTGTCACACTAATTGGCTAGAATAGGCCTCTATTAGATAATTGGA